GTATAAGGACCCGGTGAAAATGCTTGCAACAACCAAAGTTGACATTATTGCATGTATAAAGCTACTGGGACAGACCCACACATAAATGAGTTGTACTTTTGAAATTTGCCTAATCAGAGTCATTATTACTATCACTCGGTCCTTATTGATTATAACTATGAAAGCGAAACAAGAATTTATGACATTCCTAAAGAAGAAATATAATATTACGGAATTATAGTTCTTTTTAAAAATATAATAATATGAGTTAATTACACTTTGCATTTCCAAATTAAACCTATATCCCACTTCATGACTCTACAATTAAGTCTCTCAAATTATTTCTCAATTACTTAAATTAATTTTTTGATAAAAAATATACAAGTGTATATACATCTTAACATAAGCGCATTATTTGGCAAAAAAACTAACAATTAGTTGCAATTCAAGGATCCATACAAAATCACATTTAATCAAAAAATCTCATAAAAATTCGGATTTGCAAGTCTCAACCTAATCTTGGAAAAAATAGGATATATTTGGGAGATTTGATTTGATCTAATCTAGAAAAATTGCTAATCTGCCTAAATTTATCAAAGCTTCGTGTGTGCGTGTGTGTGAGAGAGATATATATATACTCGTTGATATAATAGAGAATAAAAACAAGAAAGAAAATAAACTATTGGACCTATTTACAAAAAAAGTACATAACATATAGTCCAAAAAAATTGTGTTTGTTTATACATTTTAACATAAGCGCATTATTTGATAGACAAGATGACACAAATTTTCAACTAATACGAAAATTGGGATATAGCTAAACTAATAACTATAATTGTGGATACAATATGAGTAAAATAACATATAAGGGAATATATGAAACGAAAGGCATAATTGAAAGGATCAAAATGTAATTATCATGCATCTAATATTTGTCTACTCTGCTTTTGGTTAATGAGATAGTGTAACAAAATGATTAAATCTCTAAAGTCCAAAGCTAATAATAATGCTCCACTCGTGGCATAATTTGCTTGACACTTTTATACAGCAGCCTCTTTTGATGTATGGCCTTTTACAAGTAGCAATTGTTTACCCAAAAAAAGGGAGCCCTGACGACAATTGTAGTAATTCGACCACGCAACTTTAAGGAATTAGGAATAAACATAAATTTAGATGTTCTGATTTTAAATATTAACAATTTTTTGACATCAATCAGGTGAGATTTATTTTTAATAAATATCTTAATTATAATATAAATAATTTATCTTTGATCAGATTGTAAAAAAATTAATCAAAATATACATATATCGATACGAATATACTTAACCATTAAAAAAAAAGACAATGGCGAACTACTACCGTGCTACTTCATTATGATTTGGACGAATCTTACCCGGCAACCCCATGTTCATACTAGGTGAAAAAGAACAAGAGAGAGAAAAAAATAATATTCTCGAACGAAATCACATCAATTTTAATTGATTTTTCTTTTTTTTTTGGGTACTGTTGAAAAGTTCAGAGTACTGGTGAAATAGTTAATGCTTTTAGTTGGGAGTGGGACACCCTACAAAATAAAAGGCTGAAAATGCTTGTGGCAGCGTTACGTGGATTTAAAATATAAATTTATTTAATTATTATCATCAATTTTGTTATGTCCCCTTATATTTATTAAGACCCCTATTTATTCGACGGTACTTAAATTTTTTAGTTTTGGAGGAAAGAAAAACATCATCTCTATTTTGTGTTTAGTAAGATGAATAGAAAATTGAAAGAATTAAATTTTTATTTTTTGGTATTAGAGTAAAAGTGGAAAGAAAGAAAAGATACATATATTTAATTTACCATTATACTCTCATATATAATTATATTTTAAGGGCAAATAAGTCCATTTGTTCAAAAAAAAAATGAATAAAAAAGACAAGCAATCAATAATTTAATGTGGAACCCATTAATTTGGTAAATGACAAAATAGGTGGGTCACACACACTTTTTTCCGTACACTTTCCTCTCAGAGTGATTAAAAATGGTGGGCCCAAAAAATATCTTTTTATTTTTCCTAAATTTTTCTTTTACAAGAAATAAAAAAAAGTATCATTTTTTATCCGCCATTTTTCATCCTCGCACTTTTCACTAAACCAAACAGGCTATTAGTTAGTTTATATAATTGCAGTAGGCTAGCTAGTACACTCACAATGACACAGCCAAATATTTATTGTCACATAAATAAATGGGCCATTACCTTATTAACACATTATTTATTCCAAGTGAACTGGAGACTTTTATTATATAATTAGGACTAATAATTAAACTGAGTTATTCAGATTTACTTCAAATAAAATTTCATTCGAATTCAACCCGTATTTTAAATAAGTCGAGTTTGAATAATTTTTTAGACTCGATTAGAAAATGAGCCTAAAAAAATTTAACTAAAACTCACAATATTCGGACTCTTTTATATGTAAAATAATTAAATTACTTGGCTCAACTCATTTTTTAAACAAATCAAATTTAAAAAATAAAATTAAACTCATTTAAAAAAAAGAGTTCGATAAATTCGAGTCGAGTTCATAAAACCTCCTGTGTGATCGCACAGCTGTAACCCTCCTCTTCAATTTTTCTTTTGCTTCTACGAGGAAATCAAGCTGCGAATATTCGCATCAACCTAACGAGAGAGGGAGAGAGAGAGAGAGATTGATGTTGACCAACAAAAAAAAAAATTCTAATTTTTTTTTTGGACCCAAAAAAAATTAATTTGATGTGGAGGCACTGAAAGGTGCACGAGATCTTTTGGAGCACGTAATACCATTCATTACACTGGGAAAGGCGTAGCGTACTGACCGACCGATGGCACCAAACTTTCAAAGAGCTTAAGAAAGGTTGTTCCAACGACATATAGCCCTCCTCATCATAGGCAAAGAGGTAGTCATATTGAGGAGCTCTAACCTCATATCTTCGAATGTTGATAATTTTTCGAAATTAAATTATAAAAAATTTATTTTTTATAAATATCTTAATTTTACTGTAAAAGATTTATATTTGATTGAACTGAAAAAAAAATTAATTAAAATATACTTAAGTTATTCTGAACATTCTACACCATTAAACTAAAAAAGAACAAGAAAATATGGATCTACATCCCTTAAAATATATTTTTGTGTGATTTTTTTAAATGAAATCGTTCATTATATATTAGAGGAGATTTATATATATATTAGTTATAACTCGTACTTGAAGGCACGATAAAATATAAAATTAGAACATTAAAAAAATTAATTTTATTATATTAAATAATTAAATATATGATAAAAATGAGAATGATCAAAATAAGTGATGCGATTTGACGTTTGAGCCTGACAAATGAATGATGAATGAGATAAATGATTGGTGATAGTTTTAAAGAGAAAAATATAATTAAAATAAAATTCAAACACACTCCTATTTTATTATATAAATATAAAATATAGGACCCTATTTTTTGATGAACGAATAAAACATGCTGGATGTAAATAAAATTTGATTATTTTTTATGCCAAAATATAATAGGATACCATGTCAATTCAATTGATATTACCATATAATAAAAAAAACTAATAAATAATGAAGAGGAATCCCAATTCTTTGCGTTGATAATAATTATTATATTACACGAATAAAATAATTATTAATTTTTGTAAAATTCGCTTACCTATTTAATATATTATTATAATTTCAAGGTAATGCCCGAATACTTTCTCCATTGCAGGGCTGCAGCCTCCCTGGTACAATGATAAGGGCTCTGTACCTGCTGTACAGGTTCTACAGTATTAAATTGGTTCGCGTTATTATGACCATTCCGTTGTACCAACAACGTCACATGCAACCTCTATCCCCGTTTACAAGGAGGATCTAGCGTGCGTTCAAATTAATTGGGAAGGCACCACTCGTATTGTCAGTTGTCACTCATGGATCATGGGAGAGGCACATGTTTTCAATTTATCCTAAAATAAGTGGTGATAAATTATTCTCTATTGCGCTTGCATAATATTTTTCCATGGAAAAATGTCACATAATTTAAATAAATTTTAAAATTTATAATTTAAATGCATATTATTTCTGAAAAAATTAATAAAATTCACCAACGAGTTTTTAATCCAATAATATTATTTATTTTGTGAAAACTTTATTTTTTTTTACGTCAATGATTCAAGCCCTATCTCATTTCCCCTCCCCTTTCCCCAAAAAAAATAAATAATCAAATTAAAATTTTATTTAAATTGTATAATATTACTCTTTTCAACATAAGATACAAGCTTTTTTTCACCATTATAAACGGTTCATCCTCCCCCTCCCCCAAAAAGAAGAATATATTTTCACTCTCTTCAATGTGCGAGTAAAATAAATGTTGAAAGGGGTTTTTAAGGTTAATATCACTTTTAATCTTTAAAATATATATTTTTTATCAGTTTAATCTCTAAAATATTTAATTTATATTTTTTTAGTCCCTACATAAACGAACTATCAAGTTTTTTTAATAAAGTAACTGTGTGTCATTTTTTTACATGGTATCACAAGTCAAACATATGATCATTCTGTCAAAAAAATTGACGATTCGTCTATGCAAGGATCAAAATGAAACGAATTAAATATTTTGGTAACCAAAATAATACGAATTGAATATTTTAACAATTAAATTGATAAAATAAAGATTAAACTGACAAAATATACACACTTTAATAACTAAAAGAACTATAAATCCAATTTTTTAATATAATTCTTTGATCCTCCGTGTATGACCTTTAGATTCTAATGAGGTTGGTCAATTGAAAATGGTTTGTTCAAAAACAAAAAAATTGAAAATGGTCCCCACTGGCGCACAGAAAGACTGTTTTAGCTTTTAATTTAGTAATAATTTCAACTTTCAGTCACGTTTATATTAATTAAATGGGACCACATTATTACGACACATTGGCCACTCTATGCTCCTCCAAAGCCCCCCCCCCCCCCCCGCCTATATATATATATCTATATATATATATATATAGACACACACACACCACTACCAGCAAAGTATCGGGATAATTGAATTGGAAAAAACACAACCACAGATCCACAAATTAAAGGAGGAGATAGAGAGATTTGTTGGTTTTGCGTGTCAATTGATAAGAACGAACAGCAGCTAGATGGGGAGGAGTCCGTGTTGTTCTAAAGTTGGATTGAACAGAGGTGCATGGACTGCTGCTGAAGACAAGATTCTCACTGACTACATTAACCACCATGGTGAAGGCAAATGGAGAAACCTCCCCAAAATTGCAGGTTCATTTAATCTTCTTTATGTTTACATCTACCTTGCTCTGCCTCTTTTTCATGAAAATTTAGTATAATAAAAGTGGGTTTATCTGGGTTTTCTCCCCAAATTGATTCGGCGAGTGTGTGTGTGTGTGTGTGTGATATGGGTTTTCAGAGAGTTAAATGTCCTTGTGCAGGTTTGAAGAGATGTGGGAAGAGTTGTAGGCTTCGGTGGCTGAATTATCTAAGGCCAGACATAAAGAGAGGCAACATATCACATGACGAGGAAGAACTTATTATCAGGCTTCACAAGCTGTTGGGGAACAGGTCTGAATTTCAATATTTCTTTCTCACTTTTTTCTTTTTTACACTTTTTTAAGATTAAAAAGTGCAGTGATTTGAAAAGACACTGTTCGTCTAGCATTTTTTGACACTGGGAATATGTGGTAACATTGTTTGTTTACATCTAATCCACTCTAAACTTCACAATGTTGATAATCTCGTCCACTGGATTGTACTTTTTTTTGTTCTTTGCTGATTTTGACGTTCTTGTTCTAAATTATTGTGTAGATGGTCTCTAATAGCTGGGAGGCTTCCAGGACGAACAGACAATGAAATAAAGAACTACTGGAACACAAATTTAGGAAAAAGAGTGGATCATCAGCCGAAACCGATTTCCACTCGCCGGCCGTCCAAGAAGAAGGCCAGCACAGGGACTCCTAAGTCAGAGACACAAGACAAGAATGCATCAAATCTAGGCCGGACCAAGGCAGTGAGGTGCTCTAAGCTACTTACAAGTTCACAGCATCCCAGGGCTGAATCTATTGACTCCAGCACAGAGCCTGCACAATCAGTTGTTCATAACAGTTCTGATGTCCCTAACCCGACCGGAGAAGAAGATAAGCCAACGGAGTTCATGCCGGAAATTGAGATGGGGGAGGAATCCCTATGGGATCTTCTCAACTCAGACTTTTCAGATTTGGGTGAATTCAATCACAGTAACAGTAATGGTGTCTCACCTTCTTCAGGTGGAGCCATAATGTCCCCCAAGGAATTGCTGGAGGATTGGACCATAAGAGAGTGTCTTCAACCTTTTGTAGCTTCCAGTTTTCACCATTATTTTTCTTCTGTTCTAGAGTCTGAAGAGGATTGGCTAGCTAAATAATATTGTGTACCAGAGTCTGTTTTTTCATTCAGCCCTAAGAGGATGACAAAAATGAAAAGAATCATAGTCTGTTCATATTAAGTGGATGTTATGCTTTTTCTGCTCTTTTTTACACAAACACTTGCAAATCAAGTCTATTGAATCAACTAACCTCCTTTACCAGAAAAAAAAACTTGGGACTAGAGATAGTAACCCCTAAATTCTTCAAAACTAGTATGTTTTGTCATATTATTAGGGTCATGTTGTCACATTGTTTTGTGGCGGCTTTTTGGATTTTGGAAAATAATTAATGGTTGTGTTGGTTTACTTGTAAATTAAGGTCACTTTTATTGGATGACTTTATCTGGAGAATCTTTAAGAGGAAATTCACTTTAGTTTTTTGTGATACTCGTACACCTCAGATATGTGTGTCATACACTGAATATGTTTGTCTTATACTCAGTGAGGTGAGTTATTTAAAAATCGTGAATGAAACAAAGATGAATTCCTCCTCGTTCCAAGATGTTGATTTGGATGTGCGATTTGTCAATTCTTCACAGCTTAGTTGGGTTGAATAATGACTTTTTTGTTTTTTTTTGCTTTATGTTAAAGCTAATGAAGTCTATTGCAATTAAATACTAAGTGGATGAGTGACATATCTTTAATTGCCTTGAAAATCTTTTCCTTGATCTATGTTCCAGTGATTAATAAGCTCTCTCTCTCTCTCTCTCTCTCTCTCCAGATCTTTAGGGTTGATGTTGACAATCATGATGGCATAAGCTTGTTACATTTGAAAGGCTCCTTACAATGTTGTTTAAGAAAAACTAATTGCGTTGAAAATCTTCCCCTAAGAAAAACTAATTGTCTTGAAATCTTCCCCTAAGAAAAAACTAATTGCCTTGAAAATCTTCCCCTTGATCTATGTTCCAGTGATTAATAAGCTGATCTTCCCCTTGATCTACGTCGCAGTGATTAATAAGCTCTCTCTCTCTCTCTCTCCTCTTCTCTTTTCTCTCCTTTTTTTTTTAATTAACATAATTGATGGTAAGCTAATATTTTTCCTGATAAGTAGTACAATGTAAGAAATGCAACACGTAAGTAAACAAGTAAATTGTCAAATGAATTCTCCATTCTATGATAACAATATAATGCATCTGTACAACTTTTTCGTTTGTGTGTGTACGAATATATACCGAATAAGTTTTTATCCTCATTTTTCTTTTAATAATTTTTGAATTTGAGCTATTTTTGTTGCATAAAAGTCTACAATTATATTTGATTGCTATCACTCGATATGATTGAACGAAATAGAGTGCATGAATTTGATTCTCTCTTGACATGTGGTACCCTTCTTCGATCCGTAATACAAAGATTGGTTATAACGAGGTCAAGGTTGTCATCATTATGCTCATAACGTGGTCAAATATGGTACTTGTCTCTCTCTCTCTCTCTCTGCCCGTGGTACAATTATTGATTGATTTTAATGTTGGTATACTTCTACCCAAAAATGTGACCAGACTGGCGGCCTATAATAGTTGTTACACTAAATTCAACATGCCTATTATTGATCAATTTGTTTGAAGTTTTGAATATAAATAAGCAAACAAGGCACATAAAACCAGAAACAATCGACAAAACTCTATGATTGAGGTAGCTCTTGGTGAATTATAAATTTAGATTTTTTAAATTTAAATTTTTGACAATTTTTTGAAGTTAAGTTATAACAAATTTATCTCTCTTAAATATTTTAATCTTAGTAAAGATAATCTATATTTGACCAAATCAAAAAAATAATAATAATAAAAATATATGTAAAGTGATTCAAATATTTGTAAAGTAAAGTGATATATGTAAAGTAAAGTGAAGTGATTCAAATATTTATGTCTGTCTGTCCGTTGAATAAACCAAAAAAAAAAAAATTGACAAAAGAAAAACAAATGACTTATTGCATTAGTCAATTTGTTTTGTTGGAGTCTCTCAGATCACATGCTTTGTTGTTGCTGTCTTATGGCGACTGTCTGAGGGCTAGGCCCCACCATTGCAGAAAAATACATAAAAAAATTTAATATAAAGAATACAAAAAGGGTTTTGGGCCCCACCTGATGTACAACGCATCAATGTCAAGTGTTAACGGTTCACATTGCATCCTCCTCCTTGGCTCAAACTGCTTCACGTGTTAAATTGGTTTTTATATCTGAAATTGTGCTTCGATTTTATAAAATTAAATTTTAAATATATTAATTTATGATTTAACAGCTACACTAGCATCAATCTCAAAAAAAAAAATTTAAAAAAAGGTTCCAACAGTATAAAATCTATTATAATACGTTAAGATCGACATCACAAATTTAAATTTGACCTAATTACCAAATAGCCCATGGCCATTATGAAATATACGACAATGTGCATTAAAGTTTAGAAAACACGAAATGAGAAGACTATTGGCTATCCAGTAAAAAGACGAAAAGGCGCGTTTGGTACAAAATTTATAATCAATGATTATAATTTTTATATAATTTTTTTTTTGACATCACCCCAAATTTCTTATTGTAATCCTTTTTCATCAATAATTACCTAAAAAATGATTTCAACCGTTCAAATTTGTTAACACATCAAACTCCATCTGAAGCTGACATTATAAATTATTGTCAGTGGAATTGCATGCCATCCCTTTATTTTCTTTTCTTTTCCTTTTTCTGTCCCCTTGATAGGTTGGTTATTCTACCTTGTCTGCAAAATTTGGGCCCAGAATCATGGTTTTTCTAATTTTCTTTATTTTTTTTAAGTTGTCTATGGCACCGACGTAAAAAAAATCAATATCATATCTTTTTTTTATCACATTTGTAAATATTTTTATCACTGTTATGTACCTAGCAATAGTAAAATCACTCACAAATATAATAAAACACTTATAAAAGTGATATTATTTTTGTACCGAAAAAATGATAAATTACTCACAGAAGTGATAAATTTTTTTGGTTATAAAATAATTTACAAAAATTATAAAAATACCCATTAAATAATAAATTTTAGAGGTACAGTGCCTAATTTTTTTTTGTCGGTACCACAATCAAGTAGTCTTTTTTAAAATATTGTTTGGTATGAATATGTGAAACTTTTACCACTATTTTCCCAAAACCTGGTGATATCTGTCCTTTCTCATGTCATTTTCTTCCCTCTACAACAACTACTAACTTTTATTTTATATGACCAAAAGAATCTTGGACAGAGTAGTGAAAAAATGCTCTTCATGTTTATTACAATCTTCGACAAGAAGGTGGTAGTGGAACTATTCAATTGTTAGACCTCCTTCCAATGATAATAAATGGATTCAGATCTGTTATACACTCTCTTCAAATCATTTATCGTGTACTTATCGAAATCTAATAATATATAATAAAATTTTCTTGAATTCATACTGAATAATCGACAATTAAAAAAGAGTGTATACTCAATAAGATTCAAAAACATAAACCATAAATAAGTATTATACACTTCATTATTTGTTGGACAAGGAAGAAAATGGGTGAAAAGGGAGGACCAAAACAAATGAGAAATGCATAAAACATCCAATATTAATTACGAAATCTTAATAGAGGCCTCTTGGAAGATTGTTTGGATTGACTAGATGGTTCCTTGTTTGTGTGGGTCCATGACAATAATTACCCATTTCATAGCATTGAATTCCCCTACCCTGCCTGCTTCGCAGAGGAAATGCCCAATTCAGATGTCCTTGTTCTGATCCAAATAGAGGATGCCACGGTGGGCCAGGCTATTTTTTGATAAATGGAAAGCAGACACAAGAAGGCCCTTGTTCTGATCCAAATAAAGCATGCCATTGTGAGCCAGGTCATTTTGGATTGAAATTGATGGGCCAGTTAAAAGCATGCAAACACGGCCCACATAGCCTCTTGGTCTAGTAAAAGCCCATTTCAGAAAAAAGGAAGGCCCTTTATGATGCGATGCGAATTTTGAAATTTAGCATTCCTTGGTGGACCGGGTAGCCTTTCCGGTACGTTTTCCAGTATTGGACTTGTCACTATTGGTCTTGTCGGTCAACGGTCCACATACTTTATCCTCACGCAAGAAACATGTCGTTTAATTTTCCATGCACAAGCAACCTTACTCCATATTACTTTCCGAAGAGGTGACGTGATTTCAGATTTGTATTGAGTATTAATTAATTTTAATTAATTATGTCGTGTTGTTGATCTATATGGCTCGTAAATTAAAAAATTAACAATCAATTTTATATCTAAAATTTTATTATCACTTTATTAAACTTATACTTATATTTTTTCTATAAATTTAAAAATTAATTTAATAAATATAATAATAATAATAATAAGTAAAAATATTTTTTTTATACAAAATTTAGGCCACTACTTGATAAAATATAATAAAAATTTTTACATTTTATTCTTATAATATTTACTTTAACATGTTAATCATTTCAATTTCGTATTCTTTATGTTTGACATTAACCTAACTCATTTAGTATTCGTGTTAACGAGTCATGTCATATATGGGTTCGTGTAGAAGAATGGTCAATGCTAAACAGCTAATTTCATGTTGATTTCGAATCATATTTTTGTGTTGTGACAGAAATAAAAAAAAAATTATTTTTGATGCATAAGTCACAATAAAATAATCACAAGTATTTATAAATTTAAAACTCGAACAACCACAAACAAAAGAGGTCGGATAAGCCAAGGTGATGTCAATATTGGATGGAGCCTTGTGGCCCAAGAAAATTACATCAATGTCTTTGAAAGAAGACAAAAATACAAAACAAGATGATATTTTCTAGTCAAAATGAAATAGTTGACTTGGACTTCAAAGCCAACGATGTTAGTTAATTTAAATTTCTTGTATATATAACACTGGTTTTCAGTTGTCATGAGCCCATCAACCATTTCAACATATACAACAACATCACAGACATTTTTGCAGACAAATGGAAGGCTTCAGGCTTCTTTCTCTCCTGACCTCTTCTTTGTTTCTGCTTCTCTTTTGTGCTCTAAGAGCTTTTCTCTCTCTTTGGTGGAAACCAAAAGGGCTTGAGAAGAAGTTGAAGCAGCAAGGAATCAGAGGCACTCCCTACAAACTGTTGATTGGGGACACGAAAGAGTTTGTGAAGCAGATAACTGAAGCATGGTCCAAGCCAATGAATCTTAGCCACCAGATTGTGCCTCGGGTGGATCCCTTCACCTATAACATCATGCAGAAATATGGTATGAATCCGTCTTATATTATATCATGCACTTCCAAGTTATCCCATCTTCTTCAAAATTCATGATACAAATCATGTTTTGGGTTCGTTTTTGAATCCACTTTGTTTCTCATTTTTCCTAGTTGAATAAGGAGAGAGAAAAACATACATACACGTTTTTAGTTCCAGTATTCTTAACCCACATATAAAAACTCAAATTCAATCAATATGTGTAATTACAAACGATTATGTATTTTTGAGATTTGAATGAATTATAATTTCGTTTTATGAAGCTTGTAATACAATAGTTGTCGTTGAATACAGGGAAAATATCTCAATCTTGGGCTGGTTCAAAGCCAAGGCTGACCATCATGGATCCGGAGATAGTGAAAGAAGTGCTGTCTAACAAACTAGGTCACTTTGGAAAGCCACCTTTGAGCCCTCTGATATTGATTCTAGCAAGAGGGTTAACTACTCTTGAAGGTGAAAAGTGGGCTATACATAGGAGGATAATCAACCCTGCTTTCCACCTAGAGAAATTAAAGGTTCCTTTCTGCATCCCTTACTATATATATTTTATTTCCTTTAATTATTTTTCAAAGTAATGCTGGTATTAATAACTCTGATGAGTTCACCCAGTTGGTAAATGGCTTTATTGACATTCATTTCTCTGTCCTCAATTTTCCGTTATAGGGGATGATACCAGTGTTTTCAAATACTTGTGGCAGAATGATAGACCAATGGAAGAAAACATCTGGTCTTGAAGAAACTTTTGAACTTGATATCTGGCCTCAATTTCAGATTCTTGCTGGGGATATAATATCTCGAACAGCATTCGGAAGCAACTATGAAGAAGGAAAGAAGATCCTTCAACTTCAAAAAGAGCTGCAAATGCTAGTTGTTGAAGCCATGCAAACCTTATATATTCCAGGTTTCAGGTACACTCTCAGTTTTGAGCTAGCTAATTCTCTAATTACAGTGGCCGACACAAACCTGATAAAACACAATTCATATACGACATGGACTCCACTGTATGCGATCATAAATGGGTTGAGCAAAATTTGACACGACAAAACTTGCACAAATAAAAATATGAAATCAACAGATTGATATATCACATGTCAGGATCCATTAACAACCCTATTAAGACTTAACTATGATCTAGTTTCATTCAAGCAGAAATGCCTTGCGTTTAACCAATAGCTCTAAAATTGCATCAATTTTGGTTTAATGCATTGTACAGGTTTGTTCCAACAAAAAAGAACCAGAGAAGAAAGAAATTGGACAAAAGGATCAACTCAATGCTCAGAACTTTGATCGAGAGGAAGGAAAATGCCATGAGAACGGGACAAGCCAAGGATGATGACTTATTAGGCTTGCTCCTGCAATCTAATACGCAAGACAATTTTCAGGAAAATGAAAGGAGCACAAACAGTTACAGGATGACCATGGAAGAGATTATGGAGGAGTGCAAGGTATTCTTCCTCGCTGGGCACGAGACAACTGCAAGCTGGCTAACGTGGACGATAATTGTCTTAGCAATGCACCCAAACTGGCAAGAAAAGGCTAGGGAAGAAGTTCTACAGATCTGCGGGGAGAAGGATCCTGATTTTGAAGCTATAAGCCACCTCAAAGTTGTGAGTATTCATCTCTATCTGACTGCGAAAATAATCCCCTTCTCCACAAAAATAACCATCAGATATGACCAACCTAGATGGCTTAGGATTAAGGCATCTAGGTTCCCAACCCCCAGCTCTGAGAATGTCTGCAGGAGTCCAAGGGACTCGTTAAGGCAGTGAAAGCTTAGAAATAAGCTTCCCGATAAAGCTCAATTTCCCAACCCCCAGCTCTAAGAATGCCTGCAAAAGTCCAAAGGACTCAAATCTCACATGTGCAAGCACTCAATCTTTACCTGATTAGTAGTAGCAAGGTTTCTGGCAAGACACTTTATAATATACCCTACATGTGCAATTTACTCTAATATAATCAAGAAAAATATACATTTTATGAACTTCATTTTTCACTTCACTTCGAAACATATTCAGTAAAAATCACTGCTCTAAAGTTGAAAAAACTTACTCTTATATACTTTCTACGATAATTTAAAAAGATGGTGATGTTCAGCAAGTACCTCTAATTAAAATTTTCCTGCAGGTAACCATGATACTTCATGAAGTTCTAAGGTTGTATCCGGCAGCAATTGCCTTATATCAGCATGCTTATAAGGAAACCAAGATAAGGGATCTATCCATCCCAGCCGGGGTTGATGTTACTCTGCCTATATTACTAATCAATCATGATCCTGAAATTTGGGGGCATGATGCAGAAGAATTTAAACCTGAAAGATTTTCTGGAGGAATTTCTAAGGCATGTAAAGATCAGCTAGCATTCTTTCCATTTGGATGGGGGCCAAGGACCTGTATCGGTCAAAATTTTGCAGTGATAGAAGCTAAGATAGCTTTGGCTATGATTTTACAGCATTTCTCATTTGAGCTCTCCCCATCCTACACTCATGCGCCTCATACTGTTATGACTCTTCAACCACAGCATGGAGCTCAGATTATCCTACACCAACTCAAAACAATAAGCTAAGCCAGTCTGCATGCAAACGCTTCAAAGAGAGTTTGAAAATAAGGTGATTTCATGCCACATAATAATAGTAGCTTTTGAGACATGTTTCTATAAGAGTGTTGTAATCTTTCTGCAATAAAAGGTTGTGCTCAATTCAGCCTGATTTGCATCTAATTTGTTAATCGATTCTTTTTCCTGTCCTATCAACTACTGACAATATGTGCATCAATTACAGAGTGTATCCTCCTCCCACATATGTCCTGTATTCAAACTGTCCAAAAACATGGTCATTCCCAAAACACTTCACGGGGGAGTTCCTTTTTCGACTTTATATTTGTTTATAATGTAACTATGTCAATAATAAAGATCCATAATATAATATTACATGAGCAAACCATTAACATGCTAGGTTTCCATCAATCAGTGATGCAAATTGAATAGTCACCGAGGGTTCCATCAAGCAAATGGGCAGAATGAGTGATCTGGTTACATCCTGATTCAAAGAAAAGATTTATCACTGAACAAATCAAGAATCATATCACAAAATCAAACAGAACGGATAGTGATGTAGACCTCCAATCCACCATCAGATAAATACATGATCAAGCAGCATGAACAATTATATTACAAGAGCTTCCCATTATTGGATCAAATGGATTGTTCTTAAAATAAGAAACTAAAAGACCTATAGTTGGCCAAGACCAACATGTTAGCAATGGATACAACACAAGTTATAAATCCCATTATCACACAAATCGAATGAATGAAATTCAAATCATCAAGACAAAGAATGGCCCAGCAGTTGGGTTCCAAGATTATCCCCTCTTCGGGGTGACAACAAATTTTCAGAATTAAGTTCTCTACGGTTAAGTTTGATGGTGCTCAGCCCCACCCAAAATGAGTATGCATTGCGCAACCAGTAGGGCAATCCATGGCAGATTGGTTAGTTTTTAGCAGATCTTAAAATGATGCAAACAATATAAATGAAAAAAACAGTGTTAAATAGAAGGCACTAGTATGTTACCATTTCTATTCATGCTTTTCACCAAGAATAGAGTATTTTGCATTACAAGGTTTGCACCAAAAAGAGGGTGGTTTTAGCAACACTACCCTTAGTGAACACATACAAGCATAACAACATGTGGAATCGACACCCCTCATATCTAATTTCTCACTGATTGTGCCGATTGAGCTGTTGCTATCATTTGAGCCACAATACTAGCATACTGAATGGCAGTGTGCTGTGAAGTGTATTGTTCTGAGAGACCAAACTCTCCAAAGCTTGGTTCTATATGCACGAAATGACCAGGCAATGATCTTTTTGACAGGGCTTCTTGCCATATGTCAAAGAATTCTTCCATGATTTGGTGGGATTTGTCCCACGAAGATATGGGAAGATACTCCACCTGCAAAAAGAATACGCAACTGTTAAAAAATTATGTAAGTTTTTTGTGTGAATTTTCAACTATTATCCAATCTCAAACAGCTGGTGCAAGGCAAATAACAAATCACCTCAAAATCGAAGTTTTTCATTTCATTAACATAATAACAGAAAACACTATTTGAAGTACACCCAGAATCAATGAACTCAATATTATTTCTGTTTTTGATAAGGTATTAAAAACTGACAGATGCAGAGAGGTCCCAATCAACCACAACAAAGATTGATGTTCTTTGATAGTTTTACATGAGTGTTGTAAAACTTTCCTCCTAATTGCAAATGCAACAACAAATGTTATTCATGTATTCCTTCGGATTGAATTGGCAAGGATCAGGCAAGCTTCCCTGCTAATATATAACAAAAAATTGACAAGCAGTTGTTTCCATCCGATCCACCAGTGGTTAAGAGTATGAATGCAGCAAAGGAATGTCCAAGCAAAGATTCGAAAAGCACCAGCAAAAGCAGATGTATGATATAAAATAAGGGCACTTTCTTTGTCCAACGAACTGGATAATTTTTAAAAGCTATTAAGCGATCATAAAAGTCTGAATATTAAAGGGATGTTAATCTTCCTACATCAAGAACTTCAAAAATTTTATTCTAACATGCCCCTCCATCTTATATGCCATGTCAACACTTTTGCCAATGTGCTAAAAAATGATTTGGCATATATAAAAAACTTCTTAACCTAGAACAACATTTTTGGAGAACATTAAAAGGGTTAACTCCTGCAGTGAATATAAAAAAAACACAGGCTATATACATGATAGAAAATCAAAACACTGTTAAACTTATTCCTTCATAATATTTATCTTAGACTGCGATGAGAGTGTGGTACCTCCATAAGTATTCCCCTCAAGCTTTCAGCGTGGTTTGGAACCACTTTCCCCACTCTCAACTGGAAGTCACCAAGTTGATATTGAAAACCCTGATATAAAAGCATAATCAAAACTCGTGTATAAGTCATCAGAAAAAGAAAACAAGAAGTATCTAACATAGTTTTCTGCCCTTTATTCTACCCTTGATTTTGGTTGATCTAACAGCATTCAAGGATATTAAGCTTCAAGAGTTTGGATGATAAGAGTGAGGGGTGAAGGAGGGGGGTTGGTGGGAGTGGGAGTGGGAAAAAAAATCGCTCCTTGGTGATTTTGCTCTTTTTAATTAGTGAAACTAAATTGGTGGACATGTTCAGGAACTTGGAAAAAAAAAATTCCATCCTGAGGTAAGGGTGGAAAAAAATGAGATATTGTCTTTTGTACAAGATGTCCCAGTCCAGCCACATTCTAAAGCAAGCTATTTACCAATATTGGGGATATTATGCCTTAATTATCAGCTTATCTCACCAGTTGTATGATGGAATGGTCATAAATCACAACAACAATTGTCACTTTGGAACCTCACACAAATCATAAAGCCTGTAATATGAAACCAGAGTTTCCCTCATTGTCAAATTAAATTGTAATAACCATCCTGCCGCAACACATGCCCAGAATAATGCCATCCTACTGCAACAAAATTAAACTGAACATGTTGCCATTGACAGAGAAAAATGGCAAAAAAAGGTTTCCGGTGGTTGGTGACCTCAAAATAGTAGAAACAAGGCTTTCTTCGATTTGATTTATCTTACTGCAACATAAAGAGGAAATATTCAGAAGCAGACACATCTGAATGTTTTTTTTTTCCAAACTCACATACCTCAAAATTAAGTGCAACCCTCGCTTTGTAAGACTGCAATCTTTCCATTATCGTCTGAATTGTTAAATCCGCCTCGAGAACTAACCGCTGCCCCCGAATTACAAAGTAGTATTTATTGGGCTGCTCCGGCAACGAAATCCCCAAAAAATCACGGGGAAATTCCGCCATATTCGCTTGTTCTAATGCGATAAATCAAAAAATAAACCAATTAACACCCCAATTTGTAGGTGCATATCAAAAAAGAAAAAAAAAAACTTTAATAGGTTGCAAAGGGTTTATAGTTATACCTCTAAGCATGGGTCTATAGAAGGTCAGGGTAGCTTTCCATCGTCCTTCTTTGACGCCATTGATGCCCTCAACACACTGAGAGACTTCTGTGAGGATTTGACTGTTCACTGTTGTTCCTGCATTCGGTTGCCAGTGCAAAACCCTAGAGAGAGAGAGAGAGATGTAAATGAGATAATGAATCCAAATTCAGATATGGAGTTAGGGTTTTCGTTGTTACCATTTAACGGGCATTGTGTTCACGGTAGATTAGTCGGAGGCGAAACGAACGACCATGCGAGCGAAGGAAATGCAGGAGAGTAGGAACCCAAGTGACGTCGTTCGACGACGTTTCAAACTCAGGTTGCTTCCTGGGTTAATTACACTTTCAATGCTTATATAACCAAGTACTCAAAGATCCTAATCTTTTTTTTTTTTATTTTTTTTTATCTTTTATCAATTGAACCATGAATTCTATAATTTTGTCGATTGGGCTTCTCTCTCCTCCCGTGTGTCATCTATGTGACTATAATATACAAAAAGACAAAAAAATTAAGAATAACGTGTCGCTCTCTATCACCGATTAAGGTAATGAATCGATCAATTATGTATCAATTTAATGACTTAATTGACACAAAAATCATAATTTGAACTCATATGCATAGTTCATTTTAACTCATTTGAGGACTTGATAGATACCAAAAAATAAAAAAAAAGGCTCATAGTTTGAGTGTTATATATGTAATTTTTTAAAAAAGAATATATATATAATTTTTTTTTTGACCGATTTGCCCCCAAGGCCCCCGACCCACCGTCATGTCCACGCCCGTGTATAAATGGGATTCATTAAAACAAAGCGAAGCCAATGCCCGAAGTCCCGCCTGTCATTAAAGTGAGTGTCAGTTTTTGAGCATCTAGTAGACACTTCTCTCCCAAATGCTTATCAACCGTAGATTCTCTGTATAGAGTATAGCCAAAGAGCTAGGTTTTTGATGAAAACAATTTGAGAGATAGAGAGAGTTTTTCAGGCAAATTGAAGTTTATAGGAATGGCGTGTGTGTACATTCCAGTACAGAACTCGGAAGAGGAGGTGAGAGTCGTTCTGGACCAGCTTCCCAGAGACGCTTCTGATATACTCGACATCCTCAAGGCCGAACAAGCCCCACTCGATCTCTGGCTCATCATCGCTGTACGTTCATCTACACACACACACACACACACACACACGCACATCGATATATGTATTTATCACTTGGATTTCAAGTTTAGGATTTGGTGAATTCAATTGAAAAATTTGCGCAGTGTGAATTTTGGTTGTTAATTTTAGAGACTGTTTGGAAAGTTCGAATTTTTGCAGATAATTTGATATTTTTACTTCGAAACCGATACATCATTCTGGAGGGCAGTTATCTCATCGTTTCTTATCAAAAAAAAAAAAAATTGATTTTTTACTTGTTAATATTCTCTGTATCAATTGTCATTGTGGAAGCAACTCTGACTTTTACTTCATATTAAGAATGCTTGAATTGGACTTGCAACCTTAGAAGTTAGACAAGTAGTCTGCTCTCTGACTTGTTATGATTGTCCTTGGTATTGCTATGGAAATTGATGCAGAGGGAGTACTTCAAACAAGGCAAAATTTTACAATTTCGCCAAATTTTGGAGGAAGGGTCTAGTCCTGGTATTTCTTCTTGATGACTATTTCATTATTTTTTGACCATATACAATTATGATTTCTATTACTTTTTACAAAGGATTAGGAGAGACATCGTTCTTATAGTTATTTGCAGGATCTTCTTGCATATGATCTGATAGTAGACTTTCTATGTTGCAGAGATTGATGAATATTATGCTGATGTCAGATATGAGAGGATTGCCATTCTGAATGCACTAGGGGCCTATCATAGCTACCTTGGAAAAATTGAGACAAAACAAAGAGAAAAGGAAGAGCATTTTATAAGGGCAACACAGTATTACAACAAAGCGTCTAGAATCGACATGCACGAGCCTTCTACCTGGGTTGGAAAAGGTAAACAACATGCCATGTCACTGCTTTTCATAAATGAAAATGTTAGTGAAAGGTTCACTATACACTACCCTCCTTACTGTGTATGTCTAATCATAATGAATAACAAATGGGTATCAGTTCTGCAACCTAATTGGTGAACTAGCTAAACAAAGCCAGTGACTAGTCAAAGAATGATACGAGTAGCCACCAGATTGGCAAATGGACCAACAATGTTATTATATTCCAAGCTCTCTTATTGGTTAAAACTCTTGGCCACAAGGCGAGCTTTGTGGTGCATGATAAACCAATTTGCTTGCCTCTTGATGTGAAAAATCCATTTTGTATCCGACTATGTTGGTGGAAGGTTGACGGGAATGGAGGGTCCACATACCTTATGTCATAAGACCATGACACACCTCTGCCATAGTTGGCCTACAAAGTAGGATCCTTGATTCTGCCGTGAAGGAAGTTGAACACCCTCAGCTGGCTAGGTGGTGAAGAAAAAACAAGGTGTTGTCTACAGAATGTGTGATTGAGTTGGTATGTAAACTAATTTGTTATTGCATGATGGATGGAAAACAACTAGAATCATGATCACTAATTCTTGTACGGAGAAAAAGGATATGAGGGTCTTTTAGTGCCCAAATCTGCTATTTGGCTTGCATGTGTTGGTCAATTGGAGTTAGGTTGTGAAAAATGTAAGATAGAATTGCACAAAGAGGAAGAGGCCTACAAGCTTGGTTGAAGCCATAGTTTTGTTCTCTTCATGGCTAGAATGAACTATGAGATTTTGGCTAAACATGCAAACATAATATTGAAGTTGTTATCAAAATCATTCGATTCGCTATTCGATTTAGTCCCTGTTTGATTTGTATCTTACTATAGAATCGTTTTTGACTGAGAATCGCAAGAATCATACAATTTAATTCGAATCAAAGAAATCACGCAATTGATTTTATTATTCTTTTAACCCAATTTATAGTAAAATAGATATCATTTTGATTGTTAGATAGTAAAAATGACGTTGTTTGCTTAGAAGTGGCCCACCCCCAAATATGAAAACTCGCGTATTTCTCTATATCGCCTGTGTGCGTTTCAAGCGACTGTTCAAGCATTTGTGAACATCACATAGAGACATCTCTTTCACTCAAGTTATGTTGCTTCTTCTTCAAAAACAACCACCAAACCCTACCATAACCTACTTGTTTTTCTTCTTTTTCAATAAATGTTTTGTTTTTTATTTTTCATCAAAAAATTATTTTTCAATCGAATGTGATAAGTGATTTTCTAAGTTTATATATTTGAATTAGTATGAATTTTGTCTATTTTAGTTTAATTTCATTGGTAGGAAGACAATAGCTATTTGTTTGTTAAAAATCATACATCTTTCTTCATGGTCGTTTTGAGGGATAATTTTTTATACTTTAAGAAAGAAGTACTAGTGGTACAAACTCAAAGTGTAGTTGATGAAGATTTATAAAGCCTAACATCTTTTTATTTAGACAACGTAATCATATCAATACCATTAATTGATTATTTTTAAAATACAATAATGTTCAGTATTTAATATCTTGCCTATTTTAAATATGTACATGCAATTTTTTATCATTGTTAGAATTTTGTGTCGAATTTTATGATTCCTGCTTCGATACGATTCTCAATTCTCAAATTTAGGATTTCGATTTTCGATACGAATCTCGATTTGATAATTATGATGTTGATTACTTGTGAACACATTCTTTTTCTTATCATATGTAAACCGTTGATGTTCATCCCCGTCAATATCATACTAGTTTGTTCTTATCATATTAATATAACTATAATCATCAATTAAGTAAACCATCAATTATCATATATCACCAAAAAGGATTCTTCATGGAAATGATTGGTTTATGAATTAATAAGAGAAATACCTATGTTCTTTATAATTGTGCAATCACGCTAGGAACAAAGGCAGCTCAAACTTAACACAACAAAACCTTATTCCTACATTAATTATGTTTCGCCATTGTGCTATATTAAGGTTCACACTTTATGTTAAATCATAGATTTATCATATCTTTTTTTATTATTTCATTTAAAGTTAGTTTTGATCTTCTTTTATCCCCTTGAGGAACGTCAATAGTTATCACATCAGTCTTTCTCACCGGTGCGGTAATAGGAGTTACCAAAGTCGATTCTCTCTTAATTTATATTCTATAGGTGTTACATATATTTTTTCATGGATATTTTCATTTCTAATTCTATCATTCATAATTTTACCACACATGCATATTTTCATTCTTATTTCCAACACTTGAATATGTTGTTTCTTAGTTATCCAATATTCAGTACCATAAAGAATGGTTGAGCTCATAATTGTTTTATATAACTTTTCTTTTAGTTTAAGGGGTATGCGCCTATCACACAATAAATTCAATGTATTCCTCCATTTATCCCACCTGCTTTAATTATATGAGTAACATTGTCACTAATTTCACAATCTCTATGAGTAATTGACCTCAAATATCAAAAGTATTTAATTTTCTATATCTCTTGATCTTCTATTTTTACTACTTCTTGGCTTGGATTCCTCCTTTTATTGAAGTTAGATTTCAAATATTCAATGAGCATTCAAAGGCATAGAGGGTGAGGAAACTTGTTTAGGCATTGCAAGACTTGTTGAGTAATGTTTGAGTTTCTATTTTTGAAACCCATGAAATTCCTAATTCAATAGATTTCGATAGTTGTATTGTAATTATTAAAACTCTTCCCTGTTTTATTGTGGCATTAGTAAATGAAATTTTTATTCACCCATTGGGATGTTAAAGAAGGCCCTTTGTCTCGGTAGATATTCATTCAAACTTTGAATTCTGGATACTTATGAATGTATAGCCAATGACTGTAAGATTACATCATGGTTCTGCTTTGAGTCTATCTTTTTGAATTAGGTATGGATGAATAGACTATATATATTAATGATGAGCTTTCATGGCATATGTTAGTTGTTGACGATATTTTTGATTGATTAAAATAAAAAAAGAATTAATAATGAACTAGAAGCCTGAAGAACGGCTGTAGAATTAAAATGATTTGAGATAAGTGAGACTAAAATTTAATATGTGGATACTAAATCTAAATTGGGAAATAAAGTTTGAAGAACAAGAGATATCAAAAATTATATGCTTTGATATGTAGTGTCAATTATTGATAAAGAGTGAGATTGATGACAACATTACTCATAGCATTAAATATTGAAATGCATTTGGTGTATTATTTGGTAGGCGCATACCTCGAAAGTTGAACGAAAAGTTTTTATAAAATAATCATAAGACCAACCATATTTTATGGTATTGAATCCTCAACAAATAAGAAACCAACACTTTCAAAAAATGAGTGTGGCAAGAATGAGTAATTAAAAATGAATGTATAATAAAATTAGAAAAAATAGAATCGAGAATGAGAATGAGAATGAGAATGTCTGTGAAAAAGTAGGGGTAACACATATACAAGATAAATTGAGAGATAATCAATTTGAGTAGTTTGGACATATTGTAGAAAGTCAACTATTGTACAAGTGATGTGACAGTTATTTACGGTAATCAAATGGGTAGAGGGAGACAAAAATTAATTTTAAATGAAATAGTAAAACAAGATATGATGGTGTATAGTTTATAGATATTATGACCCTTAATAGAGCACAATGGTGACATAAGATTCATGTAGTTGATCCCGAGAAAATTGGAAAAAGTCTTTGTTGAGTTGAGTAAAGAGATATCTTAGCCCTTAGTCAATTTGCATTTGAAGCCATTTTTTTTCTAGGGAATAGTCTTATTATTTATCTTTAAGATTGATTTGTGTATAAAATATATATTCAACCGTATTATATTCCATCTATAAATTATTGTAAGATTAGTGAATGGTTATTTTTCATATTCTTTGTAATTGGTCGGAAATGAACAATTAATCCTTCCACTCCCATGCACTTTTTTACGGAATAAGTATTTGAAAATGAATGAGATCAATAAGGAATTTGGACTCTTACATATGTAGCCTATGCTTGATCTGTAATTTGTTGCTTGATCCTTTCTTCTTGGGGGTGGTAAGGCCACTTCTTTTTGTGAGCTTCTTTGGAAGGTGGTGGAGGTTCCAACATTGCATGTGTTCACCATTGGGGGGCTAATTAGGGATGGTATTGGACCGGAAAAATATGGGCATTCATTCAAACCCGTCCCGTTTGGACTAGGGATGAACCATACGTATTAGATGCTGGACGTATACAGGAATGCCCGTGTAAACCTGCACGGGGATAGAGGCAGGGATGAATTGACACTTACCCCTGTCCCGCTCCTGCCAACCCGTGGTGTATATATATATATATATATGCTCATAAACCCCAATCTCATTCCCACCCACCTATAAAGGTAATATCAAAATTCAGTGGCCCATTTTTTTTTCTTTGTCCAATAAGGTAAGATCTATTATGTTTGTGTTCTTTTTTATGGCTTTTGTTAGATCTGTGATCTTTTTTGTTAGATTTGTGATGAGTTTTGTTAGATTTAAGGGTCTGTGTTGTGTTAGCTATTAAGAGTTTTTGTTTTGGATTTATGGTGTGTTAGATACAAGGTATTTAGAAGTTGCTTATTCTAATTTTTTTTTTTGTGCTGGATCTGTAATTTTCATGTGCTACATATGAGTTTTTGTGTTAGATATGCAATATTCTGAATTTTTTAATTTTATAGTATTTGAATATGACTTTTGTTGAATTTTGATTATAGTGTTAGGTATGGTTTTTGCTATTTTTGAGTTTATTCTACTTGAATATGATTTTTGTTCTTTAAAAGTTGTTAAATAGACTTTTTGCTTGAAAAGTGTTGGATAGAATTCTTGCCTACTCAGTATACCAAATGCTAGTCCTTATTGATGATAAAAATTATGCTATAATTTTCAATTATTGACATGCAATTTTTTTTTAATTTTTGGATTATTTACAATGTTGGATTATGTTGGGCTTGGGCTTGGGTTTGGATAGGGGATGAAGGTAGGGATGGGGCAAAGATTACAAATTTACCCGCGGACGGGATGGGGATGAAAACTATACCCATTAACGGGAGTGGACAGTGGATGGACGGAGTTTTTTTAAGCGGATATGGGGATGAAGACTACACCTCCGGCTAATCTTTCCATCCCTAAGCTAATCTTTCCATTGGAACTGTGTTGTTTATATATACACAATATTGATCTCAGTATTTCAAGTACATGTGTTTACAGGTCAGCTTTTGTTGGCTAAGGGTGATCTAGAGCAGGCATTTAATGCATTTAAGATTATATTGGATGGAGATCGGGATAATGTTCCTGCTCTTCTTGGTCAGGTATCTTTTTTTTTTTTTTTTTTTCGCTATGCTGGTTTACATACAAGATTGTTATGGTCATTGTTAGGTTGTGTTGATTGCGCATATGGAATTTTCGTCATGCTATGCCAAAATCTTGTGATGGTCATGTCCTGTAGTGACACTGTGAGAGTTGTTGGACACCCTATGAGATATTAATGTAGCAAGTCCTTGTGATGGCGAAGCACTCTATTTGTGACTGGTCCTATTGTCGCTTTTCAGGGTTGGCTAGTAAAATTTTGCCACTTTCTGTTTTGTAAACTGTGTTCAATTCAAATATTCCATGTTATTTATTGGTTGCAAGCATGATATTTTGTTGGTTTTTACTGCAATTGACCGGTCTTGAATGGCTGTAGGGGTGTGTTCAGTTCAGCCGTGGACGCTATTCGGATTCACTAGAGTTGTATAAGGTTTGATAGTTCCCACTTTATTTATCAGAAGTGTGATGCAAAGTTTGTCAGCTTTTGGCATTTGATTCTAAATTTGACTTAGTAGCCATAACAACTTCTTTGCACTCTTAATATTGTAATTCTACTGATTGGATTGTACAAGTGTATTCATTATAAATGCTGCTGTTAACTTGTTATTTATGTGCTTTGGTTTAGAGGGCCTTGCAAGTGTATCCTCAATGTCCTGGAGCTGTAAGACTTGGCATAGGTCTCTGTCGCTACAAATTGGGTCAATATGAAAAGGCAAAGCAAGCATTTCAGCGTGTTTTGCAGGTATGTATCTGCTAACCTGCTTGTGTGCATTGTAATTTCTATGTGCTGCGTACACCGTACTAACTAATGCTGATGTGTAATCGTCTATCCGTACTACAGTTAGATCCAGAAAATATTGAGGCTTTTGTGGCACTTGGTATCTTGGACTTGCAAACAAATGAATGTGAGTTTTCTCGTATACATACAATTATACTTGATGCAAGCATGGCATAATAGCATTCATTTTGATCCATACATATAGTAAATATAAATATGTAGCATACTTATACATACACTGTACACACTCATTGAATTGATATTTTCTCTAGTTTCAGTTAATTTATTTGTTTGAAGTACTTTCCTATTTTGAATAGAGTTCACTGCAATCTTATGGTCTAACTTTAATGTTGTGTTTATTTTCACAGCTGCTGGTATTAAGAGAGGAATGGAAAAAATGCAAAGAGCTTTTGAGATATACCCCTACTGTGCTATGTCGCTGAATTATTTAGCAAATCATTTCTTCTTCACTGGTCAACATTTTCTAGTAGAGCAACTAACTGAAATTGCACTTGCTGTGACTAATCATGGGCCAACAAAGTCACATTCCTACTACAATTTAGCACGATCGTACCATAGCAAGGTCTGAAAAGTCATCCTTAATTTTTAACAACATTCTAATGTTTCTTTTTATTTTGATCATTGTGGTTCAGATAGAATCTTTTCTCAGTTTTTTTTTTTGATGGAAAAAAAGGAAAATATTTGACATAATCTCTCAGTCTCTTTCTTCCTCCCCCTAAAGTTTCTTGTCATCATCGTCTACCATCTTCTCACGTTGATAGCTACTTTCCTTAGTCAAATAGCTCCTTGTGGCAAAGCTTAGTAATTTAGGCGTATAAATGACTGCCACAGTAGTCTACCTTTGATGGAGTATTTTATGGTGTACCCATCATGTTGTTGAGTCCCCAGATATGCTCCGAATAGAGAATTGCTGATACCTCCAGTGCTCCTCATTATCTGCAGAGTTGTGGATACATAATGACCGTGTCTATTGTCCCACATATGTTCCTCTTCTTGTTGGGCCATTCTCCAGAAGACATAATATTTATGGAAGTATCCCTCTCATATTTTGGTATGTCTTTATGGTGTATTGTCCTTCTTATTGAAATAACATCCCCAGAATCATAGGTTGTATTCTTCTTCGGTCCTTGTGATATGTTGTATTGTTTGAGCATTGAATATGGATCGATGCCAACATGTTAAATGGATTATGCCTAAAAAAACTTTTGGATCCTTTCTCTATGCTGAAGGTAGTAAGGTTGTTTTATTTTGACTTCAGGGGGACTATGAAAAAGCTGTGCGGTACTACATGGCATCTGTAAAGGAAAGCAATAAGCCTCAAGAATTTGTATTACCTTACTATGGTTTGTACAATTTTTCACCTTTGTGTTTTGATAGCTTACCACCAATCATTCTCTAAGCTTTGTGTTGTACGTGTACCAGTTTTTATATCTTATGTATGGGTATAAATTGAGGAATTGATATTTTATTTTCTCTTGTAAGTCGCAGCTTCCTGTGTGAGTATGTTTCTTAGCCTTGTATCGAGGTTTGCTTTTCTTGGAACAGGTTTGGGTCAAGTACACTTGAAATTGGGAGATTTAAAAAGTTCCCTTTCAAATTTTGAAAAGGTTTTGGAGGTGTACCCTGAGAACTGTGAGACATTAAAGGTGAATTAATAGAGCGCTTGGCAATTGCTATTTTGATATTTAATCAACTTCTGAGGTTATGTTTCTGTTGATTGGTCCTTTTCCATAGTAACTGAGTTAGAATTTTACTTGATATAGGTCCTTGGGCACATTTATGTTCAGCTGGGGTACACTAAGAAGGCCCAGGAGTTCTTAAAGAAAGCTACAAAGAATGATCCACGTGATGCCCAGGTAAAGTATTTTGTCATTTTGTTCATTTTCATATTTAATATGTTTTAAGGTTGTTTTGGACTTTTGGTGTCAATGCATATAGAAGTGCAGGGCATTAAAAGTTGAGATTCCTTGGATACAGAAATTGAGATTGGATGATTCACTAGCCATTTGGAGACCATCCTTTCATTCCTGGTTTGTTGATCTGCCTAAATGCCAAGATGCCAGGGTCCCATAGATGTGCATTTGAAGGATTTAAAAAAAGTGTCTTAGCTTTGTCATGGAATATTCAGGTTGACATTGTGCATTGTTGTACGGACAGGAGTTCTGATTTTATCGGGCCCTAATTTATCAATACACTAGGGGTAATCCGTGCCTGGCATGGTACAATGTGAATAGTTTTAAGAGAGATGTTAGTGGTCGTTGGATAAGTCTATTTGAGACTATTGGATGGACTTATTGAAGTCTGGCCTGTTTTATATTGTAGATCACTTGTTAAGAATGTCATCATTTGGATAGAGCTGTTAATCAATTTGAGTTACTCTAGCTCAACTCAAGTTTGGCTCGACAATAGCTCATTCAAGCTTCTTTGGCAACTTGGATGAGCCAGCCTTGAGTTTCACACATAAGATCACTAGTTTTACCAATCGACCTGAACCAGTTGTGGGGTCAACTCGATAAAATGGGCAGACTAGAGTAAACCATAGGATCATTTGAAATTATGTTGTTTCATGAAAACTACTTTTGTTTCGTTACTTGTAATATCCATTTCGTATATACATGGATTTCTGCTTTTGAATGTTGGAAAAGGTGATGGATACATGCTTTATGATGAGATCAACCACTGCCATTATATATTGTGAGAAAATAGTGGCTTCTTCGATTCATTTTTAAACAATGTTTGCCCTCCATGTGCTACAGTGTTAATGTTTCCTGTCAACACTCCGTCGCGTCTCTCTGTTTGTGTGTATGTGTGTGTGCTGGGTAAAACAGTTCCATAATTAAGTTATTTTGGTGAATAGATGGTTTTGTCACTTGTATTGATTGAGAAACTCATTTTCTGTTCTTTTTCAATTCTTAGTTACAATCTGGTAGACAGGAAGGAAATGGTTAGTTTTGGGGGACAATTAAGGAAAACGAGAGTTAAAAGTTTCTTATTCTAATTGCAAAGATTTAAGGGGCAATGATGTAAACAATCTAGCAAAATAGTAGAATAACTTGGATATTCCTGACTCTTGATAGCCATGGAGGATACTATTAATTTGTTTTAAAAAGAAAATAAAAACAAATTAATTTTAAATGCTAAAGTTTCTTTATATATCAAGAAACATCTAGTTTTCACCCCATTTCCCTAACAAATTGGAAACCTCTTCCAAATGTTGGGAGCTAAACAAATATTACAAAAAACTAATGGAAAATTTTGTGGAAAACTAATCTTGAAGCATGATTATCAATGATGATTTTAAGGATTGACTTATTGCAGTGAACCTCTTAGGTGATTAGATATGATATCTTTCATCCTTTTCAGTGTCCAAATAAGATTGCATGATCCTCTAGGTTTCATTCTTTCATCACATGCAACTTTTTCTGATTTATGCAGGCATTTCTGGATCTTGGGGAGCTTTTAATTTCAACTGATGCTGGAGATGCGTTAGATGCTTTTAAAACTGTATGGGCTTCCTACCTTTTATTTCTTGTTGGATTGTTAATGTTGATATGGTTGTTATTGCAGTCATTGTGCTTATTGTTTGAATGCTTGGAAAGGAAGGCTCTAAATGGTTGATTACCTTCTTCTATTGCTCTATCTACTGCATGCATATTACAATATTATGCCTTATGCTTCTGGATTCACCGTCTTGAAAGCATCTATACGGAGGACTATAGCATAATTTATTAATTACGGCCATTAACTTGAAAATAATTGACTATTGATGATTTTGCTACTATGATATGGTAGTTATTGCAGTCATTGGGCTTATTGTTTGAATGCTTGGAGAGAAAATCTCTAAATTGTTGATCACCTTCTTCTATTGCTCTAACTAATAAATACATATTACAATAGTATGCCTTATGCTTCTGCATTTACCCTCTTGAAACCATCTGTATGGAGGACTGTTATTATCTATTACTTACAGCTATTGACTTGTAATTTTCCTTATTTTTCTCTTGGATAAAGATGTTTGTGTTCACAACCTAATTGTCTCCTTTCTTTTTTCTCTCCCTCTCCACATTTTTCATGTCTCCTCATATAATTGAGACCTAGTATGTTGTTAGGCACGTAATCTACTGAAAAAGGATGGCGAAGAAGTACCAATTGAACTGTTCAACAATATTGGAGTTCTTCATTTTGAAAGAGGAGAGTTTCAGGTTTGAATCTGAGTTTGATAATTGCAAGTGGAAGAATATGTTCATATGCTTGAATCAACTATTTCCGTAAAAGATACGTGGAAAAATTTGTGTCTTAATTTTCAGCTTGCTGAACAAACGTTCATGGAAGCACTAGGTGATGGCATATGGGTTAAATTCATTGGTAGTAACGCTCCACCGGATCCAAATGTTGAAGCAGGTTCAAATCCCAGGGAAGAAACCCAGTACAATCCTATTAATAAACTGAATTTAGAGCGTGTTATTGAAGAAGGATATGATACAATGAAAGAAGCAGATTCCGATAATATGAAAGTAAAATCAGAGCATGTCGAAGGAGCACAATTCAATCATACTGGAAAATCTGTATTCAGACCTATCGCTGCCAGATTATCTATTTTGAAGTTCACACACATGCAAGTATTCCAACAGCTCGAGGAAAATGGTATTGCCGTGGAACTCCCTTGCGATAAAATCTCAACACTATTTAACCTGGCTAGACTGCTTGAGCAATCACATAACACTGAAGCAGCTTGCATATTATACCAGCTGATCTTGTTCAAGGTATGTGCGTACATCTCTGATTATTGCAACCATCAATTGACCGTATTAGTAAATGATGATGTTGATAATCATTGTTCAAATCATGCTTTTTGGTTAGGGGATACTGATTGTACTTTTGTTTACCTTTTTTGGATTTGTTGTGTAAACTGGACTAGAAAATAATTAATTGACCACATTGGACGGCTAGTTGCTAAACTCTGGAATTAACAATATGCCGCCTTGTAATTTTAGCAGTGAGAAGCATTGTTTTTAGTAGAATGACTAGGTATGAAGCTGATTGAGTATTATTGTGGCTGCATTGCAATTTACAAATGACACACATTGTCTTTGGGGGTCTTTGTTGCTGGTTGGTGTTTCCTAATGTTTTGTGCTCTTCCTTGTCCTATCCAGTAAGAATTGTCTGTTTTTTATTCAATGATCTTTTTGTTTCATTTTTTGGTAATGAGAAATAAAATTTCATTGACAAGCCACAAAAGGGGGTGCAAATCAAGCAAACATGACATATATGAAGGAGCCAAAATACTAGGTTCACTAACTCAAAAGAGTATCACCATAATCTACAAAAGAATCTAGAGGCCCAGAAAAAAACTTCATTTAGCCAGAAAAGAAAATTTAACTTCAAAAATTTGAGCTGATGTAGGAAGCCCAACTCCCGCAAATGTTCTCCTATTCCTCTCTCCAAATGGTTCTCCATTTCATTTCTCTGCACTCGCTTCTTTTTCTTGCACCTTCTCTAACTCCGAAGGAGAGCCTCAGCTGAGCTTAGCATGATACAAACCACACCAAACTAGAAAATAACATGTACCCCAAGTCTGGAGTTATGTCACAACATTAAAGTGGGAGGCTCAATGAAGTGCTTTATTCTTAGTTGAGAATCAATAGACTGCGGATTGATTCAAGCAATTAAGAAAATTCTGAATCAACCTGGTTTATGCTGTTTATAGACAACAGGTGTATTTGGAAAAAAACAGCCTGCAATTCTTCTTGGTCTACAATTATACCTTGAAGATGCTTCCTTAATTGCCGCTGCAGATTATTCAATTTGGTGGTTTTAGAATAATTATATGTCATTATATGACAACACATTATTATGGCATATTGAGAATTTTTTTTTCTTTAATGCATATTGGTGTTGCATTCACTTGTAAGGAACTATATATAATTGCATACCTTGTTATCTCATTTTTCTCATGGGTCCCTTTGATAGATCCATTTAACCTTCTCTTAGTATTGACAAAGGTATCCTGGCATTTTTACAGAGTTTCCCATTAGTTTTTAAATTTTTTTCCTACAATATCTTTTTGCCATTCTCTGAATTATTTTACGTGTGTGTACATTTTATAAAGAATTGTATCTTTGGCTGCATTATTGTGATCTTGATTTCTACTCACAACTGTAAATTACATTCATTTAGGCTATCTGTATATCCTTGTATTGCATTGTAGTTAAATCTTGTTGGTCTTAACTGGAATTTAGCATTCTTTTAAATAGTGGATTTTAGAGAAGTCCTGATTTTTTCTCTTGTTATGATCTTCTTTGTCAATTATATTTTGGTTGATCTGATACCTTCATTTTGCATTCTTATATTTCATTATGATAGTTTGTGGGTTGTGAATTCTTGTGCTTGTCCCATTGATTTGAAATTTTTACATGCATTTTATGGAGTTGGGTTTATTGTCCAAAGTTATGTGATAGTCACTGGAACTGCTTTAGATATCCGCATTTTTTTAACCCCCTTATTGGTGTTCTTTAAGTTCTTTCCCAAATGATTGTTATTGAATTTGTGTGATGGTCCACAAGTTGTATCACATTTTGCCATCCTATGCAATTTGTCTAACCTCTTTTTTTTGGCAGTATCCAGACTACATAGATGCTTATCTAAGACTTGCTGCTATAGCAAAAGCTCGAAACAATGTTCAGCTAAGCATTGAACTGGTTGTTATTGCATCTATGGCATTCCTGTCTCTTATTTTGTGGTGTGTTTCTATTCTATTGGTTCTCTTGCTTATAATGAATTATTTATTTGGTCATAGATTGGTGATGCTTTGAAGGTGGATGACAAATATGCAAATGCATTACTGATGCTTGGTGACTTGGAGCTTAAGAATGATGACTGGGTTAAGGCAAAAGATACCTTCCGGGCTGCTAAGGATGCAACTGATGGAAAAGATTCTTATGCCACGCTTTCTCTGGTGCTTAAATTATTCAGATTGCGCTCTTTGTTAGGTCTTTCAATTGTGCACCTATTGCTGTTCTGGCATTGAAGTATTCATGTCTGTATTTTGTGGGCACCTAAAAGGGGATTCCCATTTAGACCCATTCTTTTTTTGATGCTACTGATTATGGGTTATGTGATCATCATATTTGCTGCTAATCATTGTGATTAGTTTACAATGTCAACATCTCATGCTCTTTGATTTGACAACTGTCCAGGGGAACTGGAACTACTTTGCAGCTGTTCGCTCTGAGAAGAGAGCTCCCAAGCTAGAAGCTACCCATCTGGAAAAAGCTAAGGAACTCTACACGAAAGTATGATATTTACTTGAAGCCATTTTTGGAATGGCTTTCATAACTTGTGTGCTCATGTTCACACAGCTTTTTTAAGTTTGACTGATTGAAGTCTTCCAGCAGAATATTAAGGATTTGATTATTGAAAACTTAAAGTACTTTCCATATGTTTTGCTAGTTTTAGAGGATTTTAACTGTAATGGAGGTTGATATGGTTGAGACTCTCTTTTTTAGTTTTGTACTCTTTACTGGGAACATTTTAAGAGTGTGTTCATTACTGCAAATTTTTTAGACATTAAAAAGGCAATAGTAGTGATCAGAATAGAAGTAAATGAAGAATCGTGATCTTCCTATAGATAGCGATCAAAACTGTATAAAATGGTTGGCCATTGCGAGCTGCTGTCTGGCTCTAGTAGATATACTTTTTGTATGAATGTTGTCGCAACTTAAACTAACTAAGCAGTTTGAGTGAAACTTTCTAGTTAGTCCTCCAGTGTACTTAAGCTTATTTGAGTTCCCTTTTGAATTTAATTCTTTCTTATGCTATTTGTTCTGATAAAATAAATTGTATAAGGTTCTGGTTCAGCATACTGCTAACTTATATGCTGCTAATGGTGCGGGCGTGGTTTTAGCAGAAAAAGGTCAATTTGATGTTTCAAAGGATCTTTTTACACAGGTTAGCTGAACTAAATCTATTTTGAGTCATAATGTAAGGGCATATATTTGTAGTTGTTTGAGTTCCTTCTGGCTTTTCATTTTCTTAGGTTCAAGAAGCTGCAAGTGGAAGTGTATTTGTCCAGATGCCAGATGTTTGGATAAATCTGGCACATGTTCACTTTGCTCAGGGGAATTTTGCATTGGCTGTGAAAATGGTTTCCACATACATCTTTTTTTTCTGTTTTTTCCGTTTTATTTTTTGTAATGTATTCTTAGTACTTCATTTATTTATCAATATCTTCTTATTTCTTCTATGCCTTTTCTGCAGTATCAGAATTGCTTGCGGAAGTTTTATTATAATACAGACAGCCAAGTTCTTCTCTATCAAGCTCGTACACATTATGAAGCTGAACAATGGCAAGACTGCAAAAAGACCTTACTAAGAGCCATACACTTGGCCCCTTCAAATTACACATTGAGATTTGATGCAGGGGTTGCATTGCAGAAGTTCTCAGCATCAACATTACAAAAGACAAAAAGGACTGTGGATGAGGTCCATGATAAAACCTTCCCGTTAGATTTTTTATGAATTGTGTTTGAATTGATTTGGCTCTCTTTTCGGATCACCGAATTGGCTGCATCCAATAGATTGAGGTGAAGGTGCTACAATGATATTGGCCCGATGGTGCAAGAAAAAATCCCTGACAAGTGATTTAGCAGAGATTAGGATCTGGACACATAGTAATGGAAAGGGATTTGTGTGGTTGAGGTACTCAGAGAAGCTTTCTAGTGTCTAGGATAAGATTAGGACCTAGAGAGAGCTTAGTAGCAAAAAGGAATTGTGTAGCCCACCGGAGATAATGAGGCTCTAAAATGGGGTTCATTAGTACCATTATTAGCTGAAGTATTTTTCAGACAGTCCTTGTACATCATTGGCCTATTTTTTAATATTAGTACTGATGTGGGATTCCAGTATTACCTTTCCGAAACCATGGTTCCTGAGACTGCAGCATGTCTATGCTACCCCTTGAACCAGTATATCCCTCATATGTCCTACACGAATCGATAGTGAAACTGAGGCTGTGGCTTTTCCTTCTTGATATATTTGATGTGCTACTGTTGATTTGATGGGGATTTATCTATATTTATTTATAAATGTCAGCATTTGTTAAAAAATTTTAATTTCCTATTTTATCCCTAATTATTACTATAAAGTCAATTATATCCACCTATGTCCTTTCATCCACTTTTTTTTATACCTATTTAATTTTCAACTTGTTATGGACTCTTTTATAATGAGTTCTAAATTCTTATTGAACTTTTTTGTTAATAGTACACTTACATCTAATTATCTATATCTATATGAAGAAGTAAAGTCCTATATATGTTAAATTATTATACACATGTAGTTACCAGGTTGAATTACATGGTGAAATATATGTTATATATTATTTTTGGGTATGTAATATATAATAATATTATAAGCGATCTAATCAATCTATTTAACAAAGTATAGTGCTAGTATTATAAAAAGAAAGCATTATTTTTCAGGTATGTCTTTCGTTACTTGTTGTACTGTTAGTGGGAATATCTCTATCACTCATTTAAGGGGAATTTTATCCAATATAATAGGTGCGTGCAACAGTTGCCGAGCTTAAGAATGCAGTTCGTTTATTTAGTCTGCTGTCTGTTGCTTCAAACCTTCATTTTCATGGGTTTGATGAGAAGAAAATTGAAACCCATGTTGGATATTGCAAGCACTTGCTTGAGGCTGCAAAGGTTCATTGTGAGGCAGCTGAACGGGAAGACCAGCAGAATAAGCAAAGACTAGAACTGGCTCGTAAGGTCATTGTGGCTGAGGAAAACCGTCGAAAAGCTGAAGAACAGAGAAAATTTCAGGTCAGCTGTTGTAAATTTCGTTATTTGTGTACCTGTTATGTTTGCATAGTGATTCACCGATGCTTACATGGGGAAACAGTTGAAGAAAAGAAAAGAAGAAGATGATCTAAGGCAAGTGAGGCAACAGGAGGAGCATTTAGAGCGTAGAAAGGTAAGGATCATTAACTGTTACCTAGAGGAGGGTTCCGTTGTAGTATTTGTCCAGAAAGTTGGAGTATTGTTTGCCTTTTTTCCGTGATTTCTATCGTATTTGCATACAGAAAGATACTTTGAAATTATTGAAACCATCAGAGAATGCAATTATATCCAATTCATGAGAAATGAGATATTTAAAATTTATTGCTCAGTTGTCGCTAACCTGACAAACTGTGTAATACTTGTCCCTGTGTATCTTACTTTAGAAGTATGGGTTTAGATGAGAAAGTATGACAATTAATTTATTGTGTTTTGTTGATAATTCCAAACAAAGTGAAGGGTCAATGACGCAGAATTTCAACAATGTACTTATAAATAATGACATGGATTACATTTTGTGTGGAATGTTAGTACATCTACAGTACAGGTTCCAAGGTCCATCTACAAAGTCCAAGTCTTTGCACGCTTTTTTTTTTTTTTCATGTAATCTTTTTCATTTATCTGTAATATGCGGAAAGAAAAGGTATTACTATAAAGCTCCCTTCTACATAGAAGATAATTAAATTGTGCCAGATTCTAAGTTATATTGTTTCTTGACTGTACTTGTTTTATGACTATAACTAAGGCAGTATGCGTTGGCATTTTCACTTCTCTCTGAAGTTAAAGTATCAGTTTCTTAATTTTGGTCTCACTAGAAATTTATCCACTTGCCCGTAGATGTGTAAGAAAATAAGCCTCCCTCTAATAAGGAAGATTTAAACATATTTTGTTTGAATCATATTCAACGTGGTGAGATTTTGTGAAAGATGCAATAGATAGCGAAAATAGTCTCCTTATGTTTCTTCTAGTTCTTGAATTCCTCTGGCATAATAGGATGCTCCCGTTTTAACAAAAAAAAATCCAAAAATTGCATGGCAAGATTTCTTTTAACTCATTCTGGTTCAAGTTTACATGTTCATTCACTTACAGAAAAAATGATATGTCACCCTTTGGTTAAGGCAGTGGACGACCAACTCTATTGCCATGCACAATAAGGAATCAAAATCTTTTTACCACACTTGTCAATAGATCATGGACTCAATATCGTTTTAGGCTTACCTGGTCATACAAATTTTGATACTGAAAATTTCTATCATTTCTTTATGGAGACTACTCCACACTTTTTATTGTAAAAATACATGCGACTAGCATTGTAGTCCATTTTGAAATGGAGGCATCCGAAATTTTATGCCTCTGCTTTTTTCCATCTCCCTCTTGTGTCTGCTTTCTCTTAATTCAAAACTTTGTTATGCTTCCAGGAGCAATGGAAAAGTAGCACCCCTGGCTCTAAGCGGAAGGATAGGCCCCAGGTTGAAGACGATGATGGTGTGCAAGGTGAGAAGAGGAGGAGAAAGGGTGGAAAGAGGAGAAAAAGGGATAAGAAATCACGTTATGAGACAGAGGAAGCAGAAGCCGATGAACCGGAAGAAATGGAGGATGAAGATGCCAGCATGAACTACAGAGAGTCCTATGATCAAATTAATGATCAGGATGACCAAGTTGAAGACAATCCTCAGGACCTTCTTGCAGCAGCTGGGCTTGAAGATTCCGATGCCGAGGATGATGCAGTAATCTCTCTCTCTCTCCTTGTGTGCGCCTGCATTGTGTATTGTGTTTCAAACCTATGGTTGGAAAAAGCTTTATATATCTCAATAAAACGTATAATCTCCAAAGTCATAACTCACATAATTCCGTGGGAATATCTCACTGTTACAAGAAATTTGTGTTTGGAAACATCAGGGCCTGCCCAACAGGGGAGGCAAAAGAGCGTGGGTTTTAGGCTCTAGTTATAAAAAAAGGCCCTATATTTTATATGTTTATGATATGGTTGAGGCACAAACTCTAAATCTATAATATTTTAAGTCAATACAAAAAGAACCTTATAAAACTTAAAGCCCAATAAAAAAATTCTATGTTCAATGGTTTAGACCTATCCACAAGTCAGCCCACAAAATTCAAAATTCATATCTCTCTCCCCGTCTTAGTGCTTCACAAAATCCATATTTAACCTACCTAAAAATAGCCAAGGCAATTTGTTGGGCAAGAGTGATAATCTAACTTTAATCAAAAGAGAATCAAAATATCAAATTTTAATTTTTTAAAGTAGCATTGATAAATTAAATTTTATTGTTTCATATTTTTAGGGTTTTTGTCTAAATTCAAGCTAATTTTTTTTAATTATATATCATTTTTGATCGTATGTATTTATTTTGATTATATATTCTAGGCAACCATTCGGATATAAAAACTTAAAAATTAAAAAACTAATTGTACCGCAAAAAATCTTTTGATAAATTTGTTACAAGTATCAAACCAAAATCTGTGTTAGTAATTGATAAGATGTGATAGCAAAATTTTAGAATATAATAATTTGATTAAGAATATGTATTTGAACTAGCGAAATTTCTTTTATAAAAAAATTACGCTAGTATTAAAAAAAATCAAAATGCCTCATTCAAATATGTATCAGGCCACCCCTGGGAAACATGTCAATATGCATCCTTTCAAAGTTCATTTAATTTTCTAGATGCAGAGTAAACTTACTTTGCTCTGAGAGATCCTTAGCTAAACTATGACTGCATGAGTGCTCCAGTTGTGATTAGGTCTGTCAAGTTACATATGTTCAAGGAAGAGTTAATTACATGTGGTCAGCCTCCTTTAATGTCTCTTGTGAAGTATACTAGAATGAACCTGCCGTGTGTTTCACATCTAAACTGTTTATGTTTCATGTAGAGTATAACTGATAAATTATCCTTATTATGAATTGCAGTAGATTTGATAAATTGGTGTTGCAATATTAGCTACCCTGATAATCATCTAAGATTTTAGGCCAATATTTGTATTAGCTTGTCCTTTTTGTGATATGTGCCGGAGTGTTTTTAACCAAGGTTTTTGCCTTTGTCTTCCATTTTGCCCTCCCCCCTCTTGGTGAAGGCTGTACCTCCATCAAATGCAAGTCGAAGGAGGCGGGCATGGTCAGATTCCGATGAAGGTGAGCCACAGCAGAGGCAGAATGAGTCCAGTCCTGTTAGAGAAAATTCTGTGGACATGCAGGAAAGTGATTGAGACTAGACGGACAGAGAGAGAGAGAGAGAGGCTGCTGGTGATGATGAGGATTGCAATCAAACATCCCAAGAAATCCCCTGCATTTTCCAACACTAAGCTTTTGTAACTGATGTAACACATTCTATTTAGTTCCTAAAGTTCCAATATGATATAGTTTTGGTCTAGGAATGGCTTTTGAAGTCGATATCTGCTTCGCCTGAAGCCAATTATGCACATGCGCGTGGGTATAAACAAAAGTAACGTGTTTTTGAGCTTGTTGACAGTTGACGTCACTAGCACCCTCTCAGATTTGTTGGTGGGGCTTTCTTCAACTAATCTGTGCGTGCCAAGTCGTTTTACTCTACTTCGGTGAATATTATAGATTCAGATGAAATCGTCACTTCCAAGGTTCAAATTTAGGATCTTGAGTTTTTCACCATGGGAATCTTAACCAGTTACTTGATGGGTTTGAAATATTGATATGGTATATTGTTTGGTTTGTGTTTTATTTTTTTTTTGTTAAAGGTGTTTTGACTTGTGCATATTACTCTTTTTAGCGCAGTGGTTGGCCAGGCCACCGTGACTTGAGTTTGAGTTAAAATATGTCCTTAAAAGGGTAAGTCTGGTTAGTCCTTAAGAAGTGTGAGAAGTAATTAATCCGGAAATCTCTGATATATTGTTTGTTCTTGCATAAAGATCTGCCAAATAATTTAGTTGAATGTGGTAGCTTGGAAGCATTCAAACTTTAGATCAAATGAAGGAAATATAGTGGGTTTTTATTTATTTGGATAATTAGATGATATGGGTTGATTTATATTTTTCGTCCCACAAAACATTAGTCTTTTTAATACGGGGAGTATAGTTTGGTAACATTTATGATATTTATTGTAATTTTTTTTAAAAAAAATAGTACTTTGTACAAGCGTGTAAAGTCAACTTCACCATCATCACCAATAATAACTCCTATGAGGTTTTGCCTTTTCTGATCCATCTCTATCAACAGGTGTTCACAGTGACCAGTCAATTTCAATTGAATTGAAATGTTTTAACGATGAGATTAATCTTATGCTAAGCAGTAAAACCATTATGATAATGAACGCCACCCTTCTGTTCAACCCAATGCCCTAAACTCGGAGGGAGAATTGTTCTAAATTTTGTCACTTGAACTCGACTATAACAAAAACTAATTTCTTTCACAAACAATTATATTGTTTGAACTTAATTATAGAACTATTTTGCTAAAAAGCAGTATCTTGTGAAAGGGCAGTACTGTACTGTAGGTACTGTCCCTGCTGGTTTGTCATTCATATTAATTGTACCTTCTGCATTCACACTAACTATTATGTTATGTTATTAATGTGTCCATTCGGCTCTGTCACACTACACGACAGCAATATACATATGTTTCTACCTACTCGCATTGATTACTTCGGGTAGCATTATAATGTTGGAGCCATTTAACATCCAAAACTTGAGTACTTCAATCTGAAGAACCCCCCTCCCAAAATAAAAAAAAAATTTGAAAAAGATATGTTATTTGGTTACTCTTAAGAAAAAAAATGAGATGAGAATCACTTCAGCTCTTAGATATGGTAAAAACTAAGCTTTTAGGTCGATAAGTTAGCATATGATAGACAAAAGAAATTCCGAATCTTATTTTGAGATTTGTTTTCCCAATACTTTGGAGCCACCCTTAATATGTTCACATTCTACTATGTGATTGTCCAAAGCAACAATTTTTTTTTTTATATAAATAACAGAATTGTCTTAATCACACATTAGCCGGACTCATTATTATACCAAGTCGATCTGTGCTACTATTCATAAACCGTGCACCAAAGTTCTCTTACAAATAATTTTAACGAATAATCTCTAAAATCTTTTCATCCAAATGAATATAATTAAAAGCATAAGGTTCAATTTTTGTTAGCCTGAAAGTGAGTGAAAAAGTGAAAGCAAAAAAACTGAGGGACCTGGTTTGGGATATGAGATCCTTTGAAACCATTGAGTAAAGTTGGGGCAGGGGGGGTGTAATGCTTCATAGTTCCAGGCCAGTTTTTGGTCACTGACCTGACACAGTCACAGAGTCACTATGGACTGGGACTGTGTCTGCAGAACAGTACGGTGAATAAGTTCTGCTGATTTCCGGGTGGCGATAAAAGTCTGGAAAAGACTCTGTAACACTTTAAAACCTACATGGAATTGGGCCATTTTCCACCTCCTGGCTTCTGGTCTACACCTCAGGAACCAGACTAGACTCATCAGACCTCAAGACAGTGCCCTTTTGCCATGGGTCCAACCTGACTGCACCAGGTAACAGGTTTGTGGGCTTCATTCCCCAGCACCAAATTATCCTTTCTTCTAATTTACTTTTTCAAAAAAAAAAAAAAAATCTGTTTGGGTCACTAAACTTTTTATCAATAGATACCATTAAGCTTTCTATGTGTGGTATTGAGTAGGTATTGTATCTGTTAAATAATCTATTTAGAAGTATGTATAGTTAAATTAATATTGTGTATAAATTATAATTAGTAAATTCGTGTCGTGTTTAATTAAGTTTGAGTCAATCTTTTTATTTGATTGGTCTAAATATATCTACTAATTAATCACCCGAATTTACTAATTCTTATCGATTTCGTGTTCAATGTATGAATCATTTACAGAATTATTAGGCCTAGATATCATTAACTACCACTAAATCTTTTTTTTCTAGTTACATTTTCATTTGTAGATTGGAAAAAGGTCATAATAATGTTACTCGTGTAATTTATGCCTCTTTTACAAGATTGAATTTAAGACCTTAAGAGGTGAATGTGGGGAGTTTTAATCATATAGGCTGAAAATCATGATTGTTCTTTTGGGTTTGCTCAATTCTTCCTTGAGTAGTGTAATACCAAGGGTAAAAAAATAAAATAAAATAACAATATTAATAATAAAAATAAAAATGAATAAGTTGAATTTGAAAATTTGTAGACTTTTGTTTGACTTAGTTGGATAGAGTTTTAGAATTGTAAAATTAGTTGTACACTAATTCTTTATTACTAGGGACTTTAGTGTTATCAAGAATAGTTGACTCCTACACTTATATTTAAATGAGTTCTCTTGTTGCTCTAGACGTCTACTGATATATTGATATATATATTCTCTTTCTATCATAATACCTACACACGTTAGAATAAAGGAGAGAGAGGCTAAGATTTCAAGTAAAGAAAAAGGAAGAGAAAGAAAGAAGGGATTTAGAGAAGAAGGAAGAAAATTAGAAAATTTGATCGTCAAGATTAGTCTTCATATTGAAATTAATTTATGTATTTAATCGTTATATGTACATATATACAAGTTTGTACCCCTATTATATCTTGCAAGTAATCCACATGGGTAAGTTTATAGGGTTGAAATATGTGAATTCAAATATAATATGGTGAGTATTTGTGTTAAGAAGATATTAGAAAAATGGGGAGAAAGAAGAAAATGTAGAGCATGAACCTGGAATTCGTAAGGTTGAAGAAAATAAAATTTATGAAATTATGAAAATCTCCCCTTTAGTTTAAATAGATTTGTTTTGACTCTTACACTTTTATAAACTCAATTTTGACCACCATGGAACTTGGTAATTTATATAATTGACTCAATATGTTTGAAACAAATATGGTAATTTCAAAATAGCCCCCGAGTCTTTCAAAATTTCTGAAATTTTGAAACGGCCCCTAAAAGTTTCGATTAAGTGTTTAAAAATCAATGGTTACTCTAATAAATCAAATTGAAGTTGTATTCTAGAAAAATGGGTCTCTAGAACCTTAGATACTATTCTGAAAAATTAATGGCAGGTCCGAGAACAGAAAATTCGTTTTTAAGAAAATTACACTTTAGCCTCAAAAGTTTTAAAAATTATGATTTGACTCAAAACTTTAGAAACTTTTTTCTAAACAGTCCAGAATACTTGCATACCCTATTAACTCGTATTAGAAATGATATTTATATGTAAAAAATATATTAAGTATACATCAATAGGTAGGAAGTATAAAAATTAAATATAAAATCGCGAAATAACGAAATTAGGAATAGAGATTGATTATTATATGTTATTTTGGATTAAGTGGTGATTGCATTGAGATTGGAAAAAAAGTGTTTTGAATTGAAATTTGGGAATCAAGGTGAGTTGTTTATTACTTCTCTTGAGAGATTTTTTTATATTAAATGTGTGGGTGCGTGCGTATGAATTTTTTATATATATAATATATGTGTTGATGTTTGGGGTTGCAATTAAATATTTTTCAATAGTGAATTGTTATACTTGTGAATTTTGAAAAACTTGTGGGATGATTTAATATCATTGCTTAAATGTGTTTAAGTGATGAAAGAGAATTTTTGTGTGCGTTGGAACTAAAACTACAATTTTTGTGTGTGTGAAAATCATGTTTATGAGACGGGGACTGGGTTATCAAGTTTAAATGGTAACGAGATTGTATACCGAAGTGATCGGTATAGGGATGTGCACATAGGGCCAGTTATCAGGCTAGTGATAACAAAAGACGAGGCTAGTGGTAACAAAGAGACGGGGGTCAGTCATCAAACTAGTGATGACAGGAGATGGAGTCAGTTACTAGGCTAATGGTAACAAACATGATTTGACAAATGTATTTGAAACTGAATGTGTGTGTGAATGTTTTGAGTTATAAATGTCTTTTTATTTATAAAGTTATTTTGTGAAATGAATGAGTGTTTGAGTTATAAATGTTTTTTCATTAATAAAGTTATTTGTAATAATGAGATTATTTTGTTTACATGATTATGTGGGAGGGATTATGGTACAATTTATTGTACTTATGTATGTAATAAAATTTATTTTTGTATATAAAATGTGAAATTTATTTTCACACCTCATTAGAAGTGGTTGCTATTCACGGGACCTTTTGTTCATCCAAACATTTAACATTTTTTAGGTGAAGAGTAAGTCTATAGATAGATAAAAGATTAGAAGACTTAAAAATTTATTTTAATGTAGGTCTTCAAAAAGATTAGAAGAATTAAAAATTTATTTTAATGTAGGTCTTCAAGAATAAAAGTTTTTTATAGTTTTGAAACAAATGTTTAATTATTTTGAAAACAATATTGTTGATGTTTAGAGTAGTGAACCTTACGATTTAATTATTGTTTTATATGAATTTAGTAATAATATTGGTAATATTTAATTTATTCCTGGTATTCATTAGGTCAGTAAAATGAATCATTTTATTATTTATCTTCCGCTGTATTTTACATTTATTATACACAAAGTTAGTTGGTTAAGACCTTGATGGCCAGTCTGCCACCCACCCTATGTGATCCGAGATGGAAATGTGATAAGTAGAGTCATACTTATTTATCTCAAGGCGGAGATTTATTTTTTTGATTTTTTGGGCCTTGACTTTGGGCAATACTACTTAGATTTAATTTGACTGGCAAAGAGAGAGCATATATTTCCAAACTTAAAATGGACAAACTTAGAGATTCCATTCCATATTTGCTGAAGTTAAAATAGCCTTAAGGGTCTCTCAAGAGTGTTTTATACTAACTATAAAAATTACAAAAAAAAGACAAGATGTTAAGAGATGTCATTAATATCTACTAATAAAAACATAGAAACAAGTGCCAAAATCCCAGAGTTGTAGCTGAGCAAATCAAACAAGATTCAAAAACAGGAAAGGAATGTAATGAAGAAAACAAAAATAAATGTGAAACTATTTGTTCAATTACTACACACATAATTCAGCTCAACTACACCCCCTGACCACTGCGCAAACCAAAAAAACAAAACACCACAGTTTCTCTCAGTCCTCACGCATATGTATACTGAAAGCAAGAACAGAAAAAGTTCTGACCCACCACCACCATGCAAGTACTCTTTTGGCCTCTCTGACTCAGACACCCCCCTCCACCACTGGTGAAAGCTCATTTATCTGCAAAAACAAACAGAGTTTTAGATATTAAAAGAGAAAAAAAGTGGAGTTTTCTTTTACCAAACAAGTCATTTTACAATTTATAATTTTATTTCTCCTTAGTTTTAACTTAAAAAACATTGGTTTTTTAAGTCATGCTTTCTGCTGTAAAAACGTGTTTTAGAAGTGCGACTTTACGTTGAAAAATATGAGTCAAAACTACGGTTTCATTAAAACTATAACAAGCTGAAAAATAAGTTAATCATTACATAAATAGGTGAAAATAAAGTAATAAATGCCTATAGTTTGGAAATTGACTCCAAAAGTGAATCTATTGTTGGGTATGTAGAGTGATGTTCAATAACAACATACATAAACACAGTAAATGTCAAAGAATCTCAAATGATGACACTTTAAAATATACCATTATGGGTGATGAAAAAGTCATGTGAGCAGTCAGGCTCAGGCATGGAGATTGAGAGCTGGGTTTTAGAAACAGGCACATGATTCGACAATTTATCCTCGGATTCAATCCATGAATCTTTGTTCTTGGGTGGCCCTTCATCGAAGAAATGGTGCATTACTTTCTGAGGCTCATCATCTCCCCCAAGTTTCAATGGCATTTCACACTTAATATCACTACCCAGAATATTATAGCTATTATGATGCTGATCTTGGTTTTGGTGTTTCGAGGTGTCACTGAGGCTCTGAAACTGCAAGTACGAGTACCCATTTTGTAAACCAGAACAAGGCGGCCTCTGTTTCAAATGGTTAAGGGAGGAAAATGAACCCATGGTTAATGGTGTTAGTCTCCAAGAATCATCCATGGAAGATCCAGATATACTTCTCATTGTACCCGAAGGTTCTGAGAAAAATGCATGTTCATCAACCTCCTCCTCCACTCCATAACCATATCTGTTCCTACTTGCCATTAGTGAAGAAAACGAATTTTAACAGTTAACAGTAGATCCAAACCAAAATACATAAAATAGTACTGCAAGAAAGACTAGAAGAAAGTCATTTGGTGCCATGATTTTCAAACTCCTTTACCCACATACCATAATTTCAAACTTATTTTCCATTGTACTAAAGTTAATGTGAGAGATGGTGGTTTTAATCCACCCTTTTTAACATATAAGTGTGTTTGGAAAACACATTTGTAAAGTTTTCGACTGGAAGCTTACTTTGTACAAAGCTTTGATATTGAAAACTGTGGATTGAAACTACGTATTCATATAAATTAAGCATTCGAATAAACTGTGGTGAATCGGAAAAATAAACTAGGACTATGGTACTTGACAAAAAAAATTGAAAATTACTGTAAGATAAAAAAAAGAGTAAAACTAACTATAAGAGTATGCGACACAAACCTGTAATCTTTGTTTATATGAGAATAAGGACCACATTCCAAAACAAAGTGGTTGGTATGGTCCTGAGACAACAGGCCAATACCTGGAGATCTTGATGAAGACGAATGGGGAGAGAGGAAGGGATAGTGGACATGGGAACTATACTGGTTGGGGTAGTGGGGTTCAGAAAGAGAAAGAGAAGAGGCATTGGAGGGGTTTGGGCTTTTGGTGATTGATGAGATTGGTATTGCAGTTGGGGTTGATGTGTTGGTTGTTGATGTTGTCATGACTTCCACAGGCTTTCTTGAACGGTTTCTGCCCCTGTGCATGTGTCTTTCACAGTACTTAGAATCTGGGTATGCTTCTTTTGAGCACCTCCATTTCTTTCCATCTGTTCTCCTGCACCTCCCCGGCTCTGGGTCTATTTTTTTCCCAAAACCCATCTGAAAACAATTCCACCCAACTGCACACACAGATCAACCAAACTCCAGTTCAACAAAACACACAGACAACCTATACATATACCATAAAATAAAAACTCAACTTTGCATTTTCCTTGAGATAAAATAGATGGAGCATAGTAACAGAGTACAGTCAACAATGAGCTTACTATGCTGAGGTTGCTGAAGCATGAGTTTTGAGGAGAGAGAAGAGTCCAAGCTTCTTTTGATGGTAAAGAGGAGATCAGGTGGTATAGGCATGCCAGAGACCATGTACTTGAAGATGAGAGCTTGGTGTTCAAGTTCTTGCCACTGAGATGCAGTGAAAGGATACCTATTTCTTCCGGTACTCACCATTGAGAGGGAGACAGAGAGAGATCTTAGGAAGAGAAAACAAAGATTAAACAGACCAACTTTCAGACTTCAGAGAGACAGTTTCAGAGGGACTTTGAGATGTGAGAGAGGTGTTTAAGTGTTAATGAGCCTTTGTTTGGGGGGTGGTAGGTATATTTAATTTAGGGACCATGAGGGTTGCAGAATCTTCTGTATATGGATAAAACTAGTGGTTCTGCTGATCATATTGCTGCCCAGTTCAAAAAAACAAGAGATCATATTTACTGCCACCTCGCGCCCTCTTTCTCTCTCTCACACACACACATACATGCACTTTCTCTCTCCACCCTGAGTCAGTACTGTGCTAATATTATGACTGCACCTCTCTGTTGCATCTGCTGACACTGGTGCTACTGTCTTTATGGCAGCTCTTGTCTCTGACATATATACGGAAATCTATAAACTACAGGGTAGTGCCTTAGGGGTCCCTATAACTAATGAAAAAGTATTGTTTTTTGCCCGAGGTTATAAGAGTTGGTGTCCGAAGCTCAGTGCCTGGATCATGAGAAGATCGTACGGTTTAAACTTTTACTGCTACTTCCCCACTTTTACTTTTCATCTCTGAATCCCCCCCCCCCCCCCCTCTCCTCTCAGACAGCTCTCCCCGTTCCTCCCTCCCTCTCTCTTACTGAATCCAACAATTATTATTACACCATGTAGTAAAAATATTTAATTTCTATTAATGTTTAAAAATAAAATTATTAATATAATTAATTAAGACAGATCATTAGATGTTTCAATCCTAAATATTAATATTGACCATGATATTATGTAATTGATGCCAAATTACCTTATTTAATCATGATAGTACCCAAAAACACACCTTTAATACTGAGTTTATCCCACAAGGTTGCTAGTAATTCGATTAACAAAACAATCCAAGTTGCAATGGGATTTGGGTCAAGTAACAATATTTGCTTGAGAATCTCAGGTTTTGAACTTCTTGATAATCAATCTTCCATTGGTTTTTGGTGGGTAGAAATTCAAGACAAATGATCCACAACGTGTGCCTTGGATCATATCTTGTTCTTTGGATGGAAACATATCAACATTATAACCCCCTCTGCTTAACGTCTTTTCACATACAACAAATTGTGTTTTTTCAGTGTTCATGATCATTTAAATACTGTACACACTGGGAAAAAGATGCAAAGACCAAAATTCCAATTATTGTGAATAAATATTCTATCATTTCACTAGGCTTATGTCCTTGTTCTTCTCTGTTTGAAAGCGCACACAAAAAAAAAATGCAAGCTGAGCCTGTTTCCCCAGACCAGGAGCCGTACCCTAATACAGTCCCATGTCTATTTCTACTCTACTGCTTCAGCTTGAGCCAGAACTTCCTCAGCTGCGTTTCTTCATTAAATTCCCTTTCCAAACTTCCCAACCTCACTCCAAAAAAGAAATCACAAACAGGAAAGTCTGACAATGACCATCTAGCTCATTCTCTGGGTGGGTCATTAAAGTTGACTCCCTGGGTAAACGAACTTTACCTCTCATTACTGTCCAGTATCAACTTTGCCCTATCATTTTTTGCCAGGCCAAATCTAATAATGCGCCCCAACCCCCCAAAAAAAAAAAAAAAAAAACAAACCCCACCCAAGATTAAATTTTAGTTAAAAGTGTACAAGAGAGTTCAATCAACATCACATTGTGGTCCTAAAGCAAGAGCAAAATTAGCATACTGATGCATCCTATATCACCAATACCAAACAATTAAAAGCCCCAATGAGACAAGATAAAAATCACAAAAACAGATACAACCAGAAGTGCATAGACAGTGCCATTTGACAAGAAGATTTAATTCCTGAAAGTGACCGTAGACATTGGAAAGCTAGCACAAGCCATAATGATCTGCCTCGCAATAAGATGTAAGATTGTCAGATTTCTTGTTTTGAATGATGATACACATCCTCCATAATTCCAAAATGAAACTGAATCTTCACATTGCCAAAAATAAAATAAAAAACCGTCGTTGGATCAAGGCTTCCTTCTAAGTGAAGTTCTAGATTGACCTGTGAGTAAATAAAATTCTGTTTATCAACGTAGCTTTACATAGATCTGAAACCTCGGCCCGAACTCTAAAACCTTAATTGACAGACTTTAAACCACTTATTCACACCATCAGGATAATGTTGATTGGTCCTGAAACTATTTTTCAAATCTGCAATCTATAAATTAATTCTCCACCTCTGATACAGTGATCATGGAAGGTCTTAATGCTTATTAACACTGATTTGCATGGAAGTTCGAAGGGCAAATTGCTATGAGTAAATAAAGATTGTAGTTCAAAGGACAACCTGGGTGCAGAACAAGGTTTTCTTGCGTGTTGTGACCCATCCCTGATGGTCGTTCTGCTGGTGGGTGATGGATGGTTGGCTTTATGCTTGATGAAGGCTAAGTTTGGCATAAGATTTTGAGAGGATGTCACCTTGGAACCTTTTTGTAAAACACAGAGTGGCAGGATTAAAAGTCACCAGCTTCTGGAAATGAACCTTCTGACATCTATGCTCATATGTAAAATCCGGTATTGGCCTGCATAGAGACACTCATTAGAGGGAGGGACCACTGTACAGAATGGTTAGCATATCAGAGCATCAATGTGCTTTAGGGCTTACCATGCCTTTGGCTTCAATATATGCTTTTATGACGACTAACTTTCATGCCTGCACAAGAAGATTGTACTTCTGGTTTCTCCCCCCGCCCCTTCTCTCCCAAAACAAGGGAAAAAAAGAAAGAAAGTAGAAGCTGAATTTCTCTCTCTACACCACAGAAGAATAAGGGAGAAAAGGAAGAAACAGCTGAAAACAGCAAATGATTGAATCATAAGGATGTATGAAAATGTCAATACAGTAAAACAGTACTGTGCTACTAACTTCAAATAGTTGGCGTCGTGCATACAAACCCAGAAAAGAAATGTTCCAAATTGCCTCAGTACATGCCAGAAAATCAAATTATGACTTCGAATTTCATTGTAATCCAGGTCTACTGGATTTCACTATATGCTTAAAGTAAAAGGAATGGAGATAGGTCAAGAAAAAAAGGAGAGTAACATTTATCACGCAGAAAATCAAAACTCATTAAATTAACCTGAAAAATAAATAGTAAGTTACAGAACTTGCGTTCTAGTTGCTTGAATTATACATTGCCAGGTCAACCTTGCATTGCAGCACTATTCCTTCTGGAAGAAAGAGAGTACACGATCTGTATGTACTGAGAAGAGCTGTGTGTCCAGAAAGAGCTGTTCCACATAATTCAAGGAGAGAATGCCCCATTAGTACGCCCTCAAATCTCACTATTGAACTGAATTAAGAGCAAGGAAAATGATCATCTGAGAAGCAAATGAATATTGTTCAAAATTAAGAACATAATTCACTACAACCTTATAGTCATGTAATATCCTAAAGCAGATGGAAGCAAACACATGGTTCCTTATAACCCCAAAAATTGCAGAGTTGTCAAAAACTGCCATACCCATGATACAAAAATTAAGCCATAAAAACAAGTCTTATGCTAGAATGGCATATATAGCAGTGTCGTATTAATCTGTGATCAAGCTGCAATGAAAGATTCTCACTACAATATCAATTAACAAAGCTCAAAGTCACGTAGGAAGCTCAAGCAAGATGGAACGCACCTTCATAAACGGTCGATCACGGCTAGGGAAGGACTCAATGAAACTCTCCTTCAACAGCAATGATACCTAATGGCAAAAGGGAAGAATATGTTCATGTCATGTTGATAGCTGAACAACATACTGATGGCAATCAAAGTGGTGACCATCTATAAGTTATATTTCACATCTATGGTCAAATGGATGCTGCTATGACTGTACATCAAGCCATGCATTCCCTTTGCAAGGCCAATCTTAGATGATAAAAAGACCTCCAATTTACCAGCACAACAAAAGCGGCATAAAGCGAACAAACTACAATATGGCAAAGGGTTAACTGATGCCTTGGGAAACATCGAATGAGGTAAGCCCGGAGGGGAAAAACTATGGGGAAGAGAGAGAAAGGTGAGCAAATAGGAAAAGTGGGCAGACAAAAATAGAGGCCCCCTTCCCTCCTCAAGCCTGCAAACCCCCTCTCCCTCTATCCTTCCCCACCGCCCCATCAACATCCCCCTTCCATCCTGTGGCCTTACCCTCACCCCAGGACGGATGCCCCTCCTCAGCACGTGGACCCCCTCCCACACCCCGCAGTGGTAGGAGGCTTGTGCGTTGGGCCTTCCTTTTCTCTCTCCATATCTCATTTCTCCCCCTTTTTTGTCTTTTCATCCCTTCACAAATGCCTCGGGGCATTGGTTAGCTGGACACATTGAATATAACAATCAAATCATTGTCTCAATGCTTCAGATACTTAACAACCATTCCAGAGGCTACTCATGGCTTGACCCATATTTTCGCAAGTAAATCACAAAGAAGGCCATGACAGAATAAGCTGATCAAGAGCGCCCTAAATCCTAAACAAAGGATGTAAGTACAAACTAAATATTGCTGGGCTTTTGAGCGTAAGTAGTCAAAGTACTTTGCAGAAGGCTAAGAGACTGATTAGTTTCCATTTACAACATGATCAATTAATAATGAACATATGTTACAAATTGTGCATGCTTTGCCTCCAATTACATTTATAGCAAAAGTAATATTTTTTAGTTAAATCCATGTGTTATTGACTAAGAAACACATTTCCAATTTCTATCAGGTTGTCTTACATTTTAAGATGGAATTGGCAATAATATAGAATAAAATAGTGTTTTTTTGCCAACTAACAACAAATACCTGATCATCCATTAAAATTTTAATCAGCAAAAAATCTCAATTTCTCCAACAGGCCTGACGGCAAAAAATAATACAAAGCCGTTGTCATTATACTCCAGTCAAATAACTAGTACAGCTGACATCCTATTTAGGATAGAACAGTAGAACACAGACCTTATCATCATTGGATTGAACATTCGTAATTGTGTGAGAGCGTAGGGTAGAGCCAAGAGAATCCAAGTAAGACCGTAAGACTGCTAGGAAACCCATGGCGGCTTCCACCTACACATAATGAGAATGCATGGGAAACAACTAAGTGGAGGACAATTTTTAAAACTCATCATGAAATGTTAACATTGAGAAAATAATTAAGCAAGTCAGCTTCCAAAGTTTGTAAATAACAAAGATTGGAGAAGTTTAAAATCAAATCCATTGGAATAGAGTGGCAGATGAACTTAAAAATTGCACTAAACTTTATATCGTGCAAGTTTGTATTCCGCATTTTCTATCTAAGGAATGTTCACAAAACCCATACCAATTTTTGAATTTTTGCACGTTTTGAATAACAAATCAGCTAATGCTGAGTAATTCCCATGCCCATTAGTTTAATGACAGGGGACTGAAACCAGTCATGCGTCAGTCCAACAATGCAATGTTATTATTCAGAGTTAAAATAAATCTTGCTTAGAGAGTCAGACCTAAGAATATGATAATCATGATTTTAAGAGTATAGATTTAGTATTCAAAAATATGAAGAGATGGGGAACAGGGCCAAGTATGAAAACATACCTGCACATCGGTACAATCATAAACTGGCCTTTTTCTCCCCAAATAACTTTCTCCCACAAGCTTTGCATGATAAGGACTTAAGGAATAATACAACTCCTTGTGTTGGGGTAATTGTGGCATTGTTGGTGACTTCACCTATTGCCCCAATGCAGCAAAAAGACGATCAAACAGCCATGCTTAGAAGTGTAAACTAAAAATAGTCTTATTCGCAACAAAATAAGGGAAGATAGAAGGCAGAAAACCTGAGCAAGCAAAAATAGCAAATACAAAACAAACATGAGAAAGCAATTGTAGGCCATAGCACGTATAGAATTCGATTGAACATGCACCAAGTGACCCATCATTTTAGAAATTTTCTCACAAAAGAACCACATTGCCTCCAAGATAATGTCTCAATGACATCAGTGCAGACTGCCAAAGTTACATTCCAAAGAAAGTTTTTATGATCCAAAAATATAATTAACCTCACTGTCAAAATTCTGTCGGTCATTCCGATAATCAAACTTGGCAACCGATCTAATTATTTCATAACTTCCTAATTTCTGGAAAAAGAAATGGGTAAACAAAAGGTTCCCGCAGTCTCCAACGCCTGTTCATACACATAGCTCATTGACAATTCAAAAAGGGGGCTCCTCAGACAAATCTCCAATATCAAAATCTACAAAAGAAAATCTTTTATTTGCGAAGATTCAATATTAAACAAGACTTTTTTCAATCTATGTAATAGGTAAATGCTGTTGCATTTCATTGACATCCAAGATCAATGTGCCTTGCAAGTGCACAATCCACTTGGCGCATTCCCTCCCCCTTCAACATGCCTATCTATTTGTTTGAGAGGGCTTTATGAATAACAGGATTCAGCCTTTCCTCTCTGTCCCACTTATAAGTTAATGATTAATGGGAGGCTTTCATTCTCTTTCTTATAAATCCATTACTTTTACACATAAATGTTTTTCAGGAAGGACAGGGAAATTTGTATACCATGACCCACAAAAATAGGAAACCTGGAATTCTTTCACGCGGTACAGGTACCAGCTGAAGTTTTCATAGAACAACGAATGATCAGATGAAAGCACAACAACAATAAGTAGCACTAATTTCAGCAATTAGTCCTAGCTAACTGTTCAGCACATGGAAAACAAATGTGACACAGAGATACACACCTGATTCTTGCTGGCATCAACAAGAATGACATTTGTTAACTTTGACTGCACCTCTGCAGTTCTGTTCTTCACACCAACCTAATTAGAATATTGTCAAATGCCAGGAAGACGGTGGTTGAATGTAAACAAATTATCAAGGAATTAAAAATGTCTAAACATGAAGCATGGCACTTGGGAAACGCTTACACTCAATAACTCAAGACACATCCATACTCCATAAGGAGTTCTAATAAAGTAACAGTAACCAACATCAAGCACAAAGAAATGACCAAATGTTACATGATGGAATCAATAGAAAGCACCAGTAGAAACTAGTGGCATGCATGATGCATTTTTCTATGCCCAACTAATACTAAACAAGTCCTCTCCTAGCCAAATAAACAACTATATGAGCAAGTAAAAATACACAATCAATACAGCATCAAGGACAAACCAGTACACGAGGCCCACTACTGCAGGCTCTGGGAGGGTCATATATACGGAGAGGCTGTTTCTTTAAACAACACACAATTTTTGAACCCCAATAAAGAAAAAAAAATTTATAACATGATACAACTAGAGAGCAAATGAATTATCAAAAATATTCTCCTATGCATATTAATTCCACTATAATGCCTCGACCAGAAATCCATGCTTTGATGGATCCTTTTAGAGAAGATTGCATTCTTAGAAGTCAAAGATAATGAGATGCGTGAAAGCTTAAGATGTAGAAAACTCACAATGTACGGAACAGGTGCATCCAAAAAATCCAACATGTCGTTTGGCAAAACCTGGCAGTTCATGTATATTGTTAATAAGACTAGTGAACCCCCCTCTTTTTCCCCCTTCTTTCTTCCAAATAAAAAAGAAAAAGCTAAAATATGTACCAATGATACAATTACCGAGATGAGTACTTGTTCATTTGAATAAAGAAAGGAAAAATACCGGCATCAGCAAGCTCTGCCATTGATAGGGGCGAATCAGGGGGATTATCGATAAAACTGAAGCAGACAATATTCCCTGTATACAAACACATAAAATTCAAAAAAAAAAATCTTAAACATCTAAAAAAGTCTAGTGTTATCTCTATCAAGGAACATAAAAACAGATTAAAACCATAAACCAATTATGTTAAAATTTCAGAAAGATAGCTTCAAGGTGCATGTAAATAAATTGAGTGGCACCCCCTTCCTTCTGATCCTATAGTGATTGTGGTCTGACACAAAAAAATTTCATCCAAGTAAAATGTTACTTTCTAATCAGCCTCCTTCAAAACCAGCCACCCATAGCTATACAACTACAAATTATGCTTATTTTTCCAAACTATTAACAAAATAGACCATATCAATGAACATAATATGCCCTGCGAAAAGATCTTAGGAATGGGAATTGATCAAAGAAGGGGCTAAACATTTCGGACACAAGGAGCAACAACTCAAAATAATTCCCACAGAAGATCAAATCAATCATAAGGAAAAGGAAAATTCATCTGCTAAAAACATGATTCAGGCAATGTGGGTTACATGACATACCAAATTAGAACAAACAACAACAATTTGCTTCTCTAGCAGAGCCCCAGCGAAAAATGTTAACACCTGTATAGTACCAAAATAATCAGTACTTTCAAACTTCAACCAGTGACATCACACCCCATAAACAATCTATATAGGTAAACAACTTATTTCATTCACTAAAGCTTCAGTATAAGAGGACACATGAAACAAGCATATTCCACCTGATCAACACATTTTCATAACACAAAGTGAATCCAACATATGATGTTATATAAACTTTCACCTCCTCCTTGCACAGTAAACAGTAAGTGCGCAAAATTTTGTGACCTTGGTAGCAATTTTTTTTTAATTTCCTTCCGATTTTATCCATATTCTTTGGGATCTTTAAAGCAAAAAAATTGGTTTGCTGTTGGATGTCTTTAGACTCCAACAGAAGGTCCATTTATAGCATGATTGAGGTTCCATCTATCAAGTCATGTAAGAGTTAAAGTAATAGATCAAGAGCCCAAACCACCAGCATATATACATTCACACACTAGCATCACTACTTTCAAGCCCTTTACTTTTTTCTGGATGAGGATGAAAATGTAAATATGGGCCGATCTAACAAAATTCAGGAAATTGTATCTTAAAATTAAAAATCGCAACATGATTCATCACAATTTGATTGGAAACTACAACCACAAAGGAAAATCCAAGAGAGTCACACAAATATTTGCCTTTGAAAATCATCATGTTTCAAATTGGAGCATAGACTTACATGCTCAAGTCGCAAGGCGCCACATAAGCATGCAACTGCCCATACAGATAAAGCTGTTGCTTCCTCCTCCGCCATGAGTGCACTGTGTGCCTAAAAGAACTTAAAACATATTACAAAACACTGTCTTTGTCTAAAGCAAGACAGAAACAAATAATGGAAGTACCTTAAAGAAGTTAAAACAAAGGAAACAACAGTACTATCAGCCATGTGTAAACACACACACACACACAGAATGAAACAAAAAACCGCTTAACTTCATATATCACCACAACAACATGGCATACCTCTGCATATTCCAAACTTGTACTGCATGATTTCAGATCAATTGTTGAACCAGCAATCTGTAGAACTGTTTCATCAGGTCTATGAAAATCCAATGGATGCAGGTGCTCCAAAGGGTGGAACTTAATTGTTGAACCCCTAGCGGGGCAGCATAAACGGTAGTAGCTACATATTATTTGTAAGGATCCATGGTTGTTGGCCTGCACATGTTGTGAAAAAGGTGATGAAAAGAATATGTAAAGAAGCAACAGAAAACTCCAGGAGCATAAAAAAGGCATTGAGGAGAGCTTAAGGACTCTATGGAAATATCTCAAATGAGATGCAAACCTTAGCCCATTCAAGAATATCACTGTGTTCGCTAGTGTATTCCTGGCCAGAAAAGGATGCCTCTTCAATCTCTGCTTCATCGATATCGCTCCTGAAATTTCGATCTTCACTTGGAGAGCCCTGGAAACTGCATCAAGCAATTTATATCACATATCTGCAGCTGTTTGCAATCAGCCATGACACCCATATCACACAAAATAAAAAAGAAGCAATACAGTCAAGGCATATACGCTGCAATTAGGTGAAGATTCCTCTACTTCGAGAGGACAAGGCATTAACTAGGCAACGAAAGCAGACTTTTATCTTTACCTACATACAACTTCATTAGCCAATATTTCTTGACACATCCTCACGCACAATGCCTAAACAATATGTATCTTAACACATGCTTTGTTTGTCTTAAATTGCATCTCCAAGACTCCAACTCATGTTTAGCTTAGCAAAACATCGAATTGGAAGTATATTCTTTAATAGTAGAATACAAATATGGCCTACTTGCTCTGTGCCTACACATAAATCCAGTGGTTTGTGTTGTAAAATCCATAGATAATTAGAAGATGTAATTTGAAATTAGTAATGGCTTAGTGCAGACAATTATAGCAGACTGAGCCCATCAATAAGCCACCAGGAATTATGGGTAACATCACGATGATAGTGGTTCAGGAACAGAGAAGAAAAAAAAACATGCCTGGAGGAAGATTCAGAGCTTTCGCACTGTTGATACCGCAGAAGTGGCCAAACCGCATTCGGTAAACGCCTTTCTGAGGATTGCTTGTTGGCTGCAATATCATCAACATAAGCATCACTAGCTTCAGAAATCTGTGTTGCAATTACAGATTCTTTTTTAGCTGCTAGCTTCTCTGATTCAAGATAAATTGGAACATCAGATGCGACTCTTCCGGGGATAGATGCACTCGACCTTGTTTGGGAAGGTTTTAAGGTTTCATTCAGCATGTCATCCATTCTACAGTTCAGAGAAGCACTATCAGACTTTGCTTCTGGCGTATCTTCCTTGCAGTAACCCATGGGTAGTTCCAAATCCAGATCACCAATGTTCTTTGTCAACCTTTCCAACCTCTCTTCAGTGAAGATGCTACATAGGAGATATTTTTTAAGTTTTTAGAAAAAGGAAACAAGAGTGTCAAAACTGAGCATTATTTAGATAACAATTTAATTAGACGCTTACACCAAATGATACAACCCATTAAAATATAGTAAATTACACAATCTTTTCAAACAAATGCATGTATGCAAAATTTAAATGCACATAAAAGGAGACTTTCTCGGTAAACCAAGCATCCAGGAATGATTACATCTATGTAACCATTTCTGTTGAGCACTTGCAGCAAAAGAACAGGAAATCTGCAATATTGCCTTCTGTTCATGATACTGAAAATGTTTAAAATGCCAAAAAAATTACGTGTTACATACAATATTCAGGACCTTATGATCAGTCCACCTATTATTTTGCTCCACCTACAAACCCATATCTATCAAATTACATCTATGATGTATACAATCTAACTGCCACATACATGACGACCTGAAGGCACTGATATAAATCAGAAAACTGAATACAGAGCGAAGAGTCCTGTTAACCTTATACACTAACCTTGGGTGGTCCTAATAATTTGATTTCAGATACAGGCTTTCTTACACTCTCATATGGAAAACTGGCTCAGATGTGGGGTGAACAGATAAATGGACGGATATGTATACAATGAAATTCAAATGAGTGAAAGACTTGAATCACCAACCACCGAAGACCCATCTCTTATATCATCTCAGAACATACAACTCAAAATCAGTTGACATTAGTGGAAAGACCTCGTAACAACATATACCAACCTTGGGTGTTTCGAATAATTCGATGCATTTACTACCCCTCTTTACACCCTCCCTCATGTGGGACCTGACTTTGACATGGAACTAACAAACAAACATGCATAGAGAGAAATTCAATGGGCAAGATAGTTGACCCACTGAACCCAAGTCCCAGCTCTAATATCAGGTTACATCCTACCCAAAACCAATTGACACCAAGTGGAGAGGGCCCCTTTAACCAGATAAATCAACTTGGGTGACCCAAATAATTCAATGTGCATACAAGCTCTCTTTAACGTACAGATCTGAAAGTGTTGTAACTAATCAGAAAACCAATACAATGCACCTATGGAAGGACATACAAATTTCTGTATACATAAACTATCATTCTTAAAAACATGAATCTAATGTTAGCTATTTTAGGTTCTTCTCCCCCGTATAAGTCAAATATAATACACTAGTTCAGTCAACCCCAATCTACACCTGGCCATGCAGATCCTAAATTAAATTGCATTCTATGCCAAAGCTCAAAAGTTTGCTGAGAGCTTCGTTTCCATATGGCAATCAGGTGACAATTCAAGTTTCAAACATAATCACATTATATTGAACAGGCACATATTACCATATGGAATGGGGTGTGCACCAAGTTAGTAACCCTATGCATGTAGGACAGGAGGCTTGTATTAGAGGGGAAGAATTTGTTGGGTGCTCATAGGTGGGAGCATTCGTAATCCACAATCCACGAACATAATTCCAATGTCATCCCCATTAGAAGTCCAAACAAATTATGACCATAAAAACTACTCTTAAATAGGAAACACTATTGCAGGCAAAGATCATAAACAAAAGATCTGGTCAAACAGTAACAAACCTATTTAATATACCAAAATGCAGCTCAAAAAATGGAAGCCTCGAAAGAATGCAATAACACCGGTGTGTGGTTAAAATATGGCGACTCAAAGCTGAGCAGAAAGGTTGTCCATCTGAAATCATGGTTATCAATCCAGAAGGTTTTTGCACTATTTCTTCCACTAAAACACAGCAACCGTAGAGAGTTGAATTATCGGCAACCTACATAATAAAACAAAGTCAAATTTTGTATCTTATAAGGCAAAATTTCTCAAAACACAAAATTGAAGCAAACATATCATACACAGCACATGCATAAAACAAACAATTAGCATGACCAAAAATAGCCCTATGAGCATATTGATTATCACTTAGTAGACGTGCTTTTTTCTATAACAAAGACCAAATAGAAAATAATGTAAAATCTTCACAGAACAAAAATAACAAAAACAATAAGTAATAGTTCAGAAACCATACAGACAGCCTGAAAACATTGGCATTTCCATTTTGCTGTTTGGTTTCTTGGCTACTTATAATAGCCAGTTAAGATTCTTGGCTAGGGAAATCACTGACCAGGCCAGTGCCCTTACATCACTTCAGTAGTTTTTATTGAGTAATTTATACAAGCAATGGAACGAGGACGAGACAGAACCAGGTCTCTGTGAAGCCAGCTCATAGAATTTTAAGTACAACATGGCCATATTAACACATAGTTTGTCAGAGTCCAACAAAAATATAATGGTTTATAGAGAGGACATTTTTATTATTCACCCATCATAATCCTGTGGTGCTAACTGTTAACAGCTACACCCACCCTTATTATGACAAAGAATGAGTATCTCCAATACATCATCAACCCCACAGTCATAGTTTTAACCCTACGCCCAGCTAGCAATTGAGTCTACCCATAAAATGGATCCAAAAGGAGATATTCATATGGATGAGTGGTTTGACCAGAAATCAAATGAAATTATTCAGATAATGGAAGTCTCTACACTAGAAAAAACAAGAAAGAAAACCAAGAAAGATGTTTTGGAAATAAGCGGTGAGGATTAGTACATAGGCAATGCTGAGGGCAATTCTAAGACATGGAGAAGACCAAAATGAAGGTGACTCGGTGTAGTAAGGAAATACACGGACAGCATGTGGTTTACACATACAAGATTTGTGTAGCAGATCATAACTAGATCAAACCGCTTTGTCAAGCAGTAAACAACATAAATTACAGCAAAAAATGGTCACATAATTCCCAATTGCAGTAGTCATGGTTTAAGTAGCAACTAGCAAGCAACCAACAGAACACACTAGCATTAGGGAGTTGGCAGATCAAACAGAAAGTTCAAGAAAAGTAAGCTCATGTTAGATTCAAGTTGAACATGGTAGCGGCACATGGGAAATGGAAGAAACCAGAAAGAAACTATCAGGCACTCAGTAGATACCTGTAACCGGAACACAAAGGACAGGTCATTTTGTTTTAGATGTTCCTGCAAAACTAGCAGCATGTTAACTCAGATCATAATATTGGAACTTTTGCTACTTCATAAAGCAAAGACTTTGGGATTTGTCAGACTAGATAGACTACTGTTCTCACAGTCATGTGTCATATGAGTTGTACACAACAAATGTAGAAAGTAAATTTGATATTTAAAATCTTGCTCGGACTAGGAGTGAGGGAGAAAACAATAAATTTGATAAATCGTGAACTTTTGCTTTTTTTCATCAAAAAAAATTTCCCACAATAGTATCAAGGTCAAAAACAGTATAAGAGATACCTGTCCTAGAAGTATTTCATTCAATTCACTCATTGATGGAGTTTTCTCAACCGCATGAACCTGTAATCATAAGTAACACTTTCAAACTTGAAACATAAACCAATCAGGCTAACAATTCTTAACATGAACAGCCAACACAACATGAAACCAAAAGGAAATCAGCAAATGTGGATTTAAAATGGGTTGACTCTCTAAACACATTTAATAAATCGGTTTGACATGAAACCGGCTAAAACCCACTAATCCATGACACAAATCTGACACACTATGAATCAGAATATATACTGGTTGAGAACATTTGACACGGCACGATTTAGAAACACGACACGACCCATTAAAACCCATAACCACAAGCAGAGAGACAGGATGACAAATCTCATAGACAAGACAAGTAATTTAAAGGAATTTTAACCCTACAAATAGGGGTGTTCAAAATTTTGCTTACCCGCATATTCCGACCCTACTAATTGGCTTCTGCAAAATATCGGATAGGCCAACAGAAGAATTTTGGTATTCCGCAAAAAATTGGGTAAAAATGCGGAATACCCACAAAATTTTCATATTCCTACCCCACCCCACCCACACATATTTTTTAAAAATTTTTAATATTTTTATAAAAAAATGTGTTAATGTGCAAAAAAGCCCTAAAAATTTCTCATGCCTCTCTCTACTTCTCTCAAGACTAAGGCAGTCTCTCTATCATTTTTTTTGTGCAACAATTATGGTGTAGTGATATTTATGACTTTTTTGTTGTATTTTATTGTAATTATTTATGTATTATCGAAGTTATTATGTTTTTTTTAGTATTATTAATTTATTGTTTTGGTTAATTAGAGTAGGTTACTTAATTGAATTGTTAAAATAATCTAAAAATAAAAAATAAAAAATATATATTCACCCAATTTCCTACCCGATTGTTTTGGAAGGATTCGGCCAGAATAATACACTTAATCGGGTAGGATCGGCTAAGAAAAAAGGCTTCCACAAAGTATCGGATAAGAAAATGGAATACCATAATTCCTACCTGTCAGCTAGGGTAAACACCCCTACCTACCAATGATGAAACAATATTATCCAAACCACAAATTATAACAAAGAAGAAAAAAAATTGGAACCTGACGGTGGGAAATCCCATCTAGTCAGCCATCTAAAGAAAACAGACATCTAAAATCTATAAACAATTTAATTTGCATATATCATGAAAGCATATATGTTTTCACAAAATGCAAAGAATAACATGAAAACTAAGTGTCTAAGCCCATCTTTCATAGAACTGCCCCACCAGGATGCCATATATCATGAGTGCCAATCCTTTGCCCAAGTTGATGAAGAAATAGGGGATGACACTAAAAATCAAAAGAAGTGAGTATTCTATGCCACATCAGCTCGTTCGATGTAACATTCAAACCTAATATTTTTCAATTACAGCGATGATCTGTTTGGCAGGGAGAATTCATAATTTGGAAACAAATTGAGGATAAGATATTATAGATATTAAACTAAATTCTCCCTGTTCCCCTTCCAACTCCTCAATTCCGTGATGTCAAGGGTGAAAAAACCAACCTCTATGCCTCCAGGAAAACAGAATGAAAGAAGATCCTTATAATTGAGTGGCAGCTGTTTTTCAGGAGGGTAAACAAATAAGACCTGAACAAGAAAACAGAAAATCACATTGCAGCAATAAGATCAAAAAAGCCAAACATATTGCAAACAAGAATCAGCACCTGTGGCTCATAATTTGGTTCAACACGCGACTGATACTGACCACTAAGGGCGCTTCGAAATCTCCCCGAACCTTCAGACTTTCTAGCAATGTACTGCTTTTGAAGTGTCTGAAGATCACAATTAGGATGAAGACCAACAACTACCATGCTCTCGAAAATCTTTGATGGTTCTTTGATAATTCTGTGGTCCTGCACGGTTAAATAGATTAATATTGTATGAAACCCAATAGCCCCCAAAAATGTTGGAACAAGACTTTGTTGTGTTGATTTGTAGTTGTATGAAACCCAAAAACAACGTTCTGTTTTTGTGAGCACATAAATACAAAACATATAAGGTTTTGCAATCAAAATCCACAAGTTTTCTCCACGTGTCAATGGGGAATATTCAGCATTATGAAAACATCATACTAGGCCCGACTTCGTCATGAAAGCTCTATATGCAGATCAATTTCAATTAAGAAATAAAATATTGACTGGGTTATGAGAAATTGCATTTTGAAGTAAGCACTACATGTTTAAGGCAGATAACTTCCAAATAAGCTAGGTAATAAAATAATCAAGCTAAAGGGATGAGTAGCCATTCCCCCAGGAAGTCCAGTAGAGAGAAAAGTATACCAAGGACTGCAACTGAAAGCTTGCCCATTGACGCTTTAGGCTAGTTAATACTTCTGGGTTGTAATTTCCTCTCTTCACTTCAGGAGGACTTGAGAAGCCTTTCAAAACTCTAGAAACTTGGCGCTGAAGTTTTTGCAGTTGGCTACCACTGTCATCCTTGGATGAAAATACAACTGATGGCCGTGGAGAACGAACAGCAGTTGTAGTTGCAGCTGCAGCCGCTGCAGCAACAGCTCGAGCGACATCTTCAGTGGTCTGCATGAAGAATGAAGCACCCCAACCAGGGCTATCTGACTCTTCGTTTTTCTCCATATTTAATACCCTCTCCTGCCAAGACCAGCATAAATGAGACAAACCGGAGACACACAATCTAAAATATTAACCAGAGGGAAAAATATGATAACTGTCTAATACAATATTTATAATACTGTATGATCAGCAAGGAGTTGAAAAGGTGACAACTCTTCTTTTTGTCATTTTTTCTCTTCATATACAAATATATTTCTATTTATTCCCTCTAAGCTCAAGGAAATGGTAAAATCGTAAAGCTCAACCCTTCAATGCTACTGCCAATTCAAGGTAAAGTGCATGCGCTCCACACTGCAACCCTTATTGTTCACCTTATGTTTGAATTCTGCAACTTACATCCTGTTCAACATAAAAAAACCAAGATATACTTTCCCTGCCAATCCCCCTCCCCCCTACTTAAGGAACAAAAACAACCAAAAAAGATAACTTAACAACAACCTTCTCCTTTGATTGCACTTTCAAGTCTCCAGTTTTCATTGAATCGATGTTTGGTTATTCACATAGTTAGGTTATCCTAGTATTTCCTAACAGTTGTTGCACATAAACACTCAGTGACATAGTAAGAAGGGAATTGTGGCAGTTGAGCTGAAACCTCAATTCTAAAATTTTCTTTTTTTGAGCAATGGAATCACATATAATACATATGGTCACATCAACACAAGCATAAGGAATCGATTCCTGATAACTGAGGACCTAAAGCTGACGCAACTTAAGCCCATAGTTCTTCGCCCTGTGTACACTAACCCAAACCCCAACAAAATTATTCAGTCTAGTAGTAGTGTAATTTCTTTTTCTTACTAAAGATCATAGAAAATCGAATAAATTTCCACGTTTTCTCTAATCCCACAAGTAATCACAACGACAAAAGCAAACTCAATCTCAAACATAGACAAAAAAAATTACAGTTTTTTCTTTCTTACTATTCAGTTACACCACATTCGAGGAGGAAAAGATCACTAATTTCACCATCTATTCAACAAAAAATACTCTTCAGACATGAACTCGCAGATTCTCTATCCTATACGCCTGTGATTAGAGCGTAACATTCCAATTTGGGTGACGAAATGTGGATTTTTAACGTGACGGCCACAATCAAAACATGAAAAATAAAGGGAAATAAATCATTCTTTCAATTCAGGTTATGGTTAACAAACATAAAACCTCTAAACAAATCTTTCTAAATTGAAAATCTAATCGAGAACAGTTATTTGTTGCCAGCAAAATTCAACGTCTGAATACAAAAACTCGCAAGAAAATGTTAAAATAGTTACCTTGTAATTGTAGATGAATTTCTAATGAGAAAGAGAGAGATTTATAGACGTTAACACAGAAAGAGATGATAGTTTTAGAGAGAGAGAGAGAGAGAGTTCAAGCGGCCATATCAAAAAACAGAGAGAGCTCTTCTTCTTCGTCTTTTCTCCTTTGTTTTTCTGGAGACTGGAAAGGAAAAACCCCCAAACAGAAACGAAATAATTAATATAAGAATAAGTTATATAACTAATAAACTCATATTATGAATACAAAATAGTTAATTACAAATATCTTTTTTATTTTCTTTAGATGCATATAAGTAAATATTTTATTTATATTTAATTTATTTATTAATTTATATCTAACGAGTCATATTATATTAAATTTATGTCATGTATAAATCGTATATAATTGATATATAATTAAGACGTATCATATATACTTTTTAATTAATTTTATTCATACCTAATTTATTTATTAATCGTGTCGAGTAAGGTCAGGTCTACTCATTATGAAACAGGTGATTTAAGAAAGACTTAAACCCTCTAATATCATATTGTGTTCACATTATATAAATTCATTAATTTTTATATTATTAATTTTTTAGTTTAAAAAAATCAAAAAAAAAAAGTCAAAGATACTAAGGGAGCTCTTGGACCTCGTGTGGGCCCAGATGAAAAAAAAACGGCATTGAGAACGGTCTGTGTTAATTTTGATTTGTAGTTATTGTTTTAATTTAAGGGGTTTGACTGAATGTGCAAAACTATTTTAACTAGGAGACGTCTTGATATTGAATTTTAATAATATTTTAGAGTTAAATAATGAAGATTTATTTTTTATAAATATTTTAATTATAATGTGAATGATTTTTTTTTGACCAAATTAAAAAAAAGATTAATTAAAGTATATATAATTTGGCCTGAACATTCTGATCGTTAAATCCAAAAAAAAAAAAATAATAATTTAAGTAAAAAATTAGCAAAAATGGAATTAGATTATAATTACCAGAGATTAGAAATGATGTTTAGCGACAAGAATTAGCATCCGAAGTGTTATTTTAATGCTTTTTTACCGGCGAAAGTGGCTTTTTTCCCATCTTAACTCTTACAAACGGCGTGGAGTGCGCCATGCTTTCGTGAGAATTAAATACTTATCCCGAATTTTTTGAATAAAAAAAAAGAAGGAAAAAATTATGTTTAATGTATGAAATATTATGTTTAATGTATGAAAAAATTATGTTTAATCCGTGTTTAAAGACACAATGCACAATATAAAATCTAACTATTCAAAAAAAAATTTCCTTCTCGTTCTTTAACTAAATAATATAAAATTAATTTTTATTCATTATTTTTTTAAAATAAAAAATTATAAATTTTTTTCAAATTTCATGATCTCAAATAAATATTAATATGTATATATTATCGTATATAAATAATATTTGCATCTCATATATCGTTTTTAAAACACATCAGATGTTCCAAATCCTTTTTATTTCTTATATGATATCATAAAACTGAGTGAATTATTTGTGAAATATGTAGACCGTATTTGATTGTATCTGTTAGCATATTAGATTCATTTTGAAGCCGGCGGGACTTGTTGATTAAGTCAAGAGCCATGTCGGCTGGGCGTGGAGGGGTCCGCAGACCCTACCTTCATATTGGAATGGAAGTGACTTTTCAAGCGTGCTCAAGCTTTTGCCTTTTAAAGAAAAGGCACCACAAGGGGGGGTCCACAGGTGTTGGTGACTTGTATCTAGTACGAACTAGACGGCCCTGTTCAGATTGGCTGAAAATTCTATGAACAGGAGGCCAAAAGGCATGTTTGGTTTGGTTTTTAAAAATAATTTTTTACTTTTAAAATTTTAAAAATAAGGAGGATGTTGTTTGTTTAGCTTTTTTGTTCAATTTTTTTGTTCTTTAATTTTTTAAAAATTTTGGAAGATAAAATGTGATTTTAGAAAACAACAAAATAATATTTTTTGAGTTTTCAAGTTAAAATAAAAAACAAGAAAAATAACTCATCCTCTTTAATTAAATTCACCCATCAAATTTCCTTTGCAGTAAAATGTATTTTTTTCATTGAAGTATAAAAGTTCTTCGCTTAGAGTCTGTTTTCTCCATCTCTTCTCTCTTTCTCTCTCTCTCTTTGTGTAACGACGCTATGCAACGAAATCAGAAATCTTCATCTCCTCTCTCTCTCTCTATGTACAGCTCCTCCTCTTTAACGAAGACAAATACAAAGCCTTTTTTTTCTGCATCTGGGTTCAAAACGCACACAGAGATTTCCAGCATCTTCTCTGTTCTCTGTCTTGCGCTCAGATTTGTGTGTATAGGTCTGTGTCTGTGTGTGTATGGATCTGTGTCTATGTGTATGTGGTTATGTGGTTATGTTTGTGTGTGCGTGTGCGTGTGGCTTTTGTGAAGATAGAGAGAGGGGAAAGAAAGATAGAAATAGAGAATTGTGTATTTTGTGGATTATTGACCAAACAAATTTTACAATTTTTTGTTCTTTGAAATTATTTTTAAAAATATATAACTAAAATGGTTTTGCAATTTAAAAATTATTAAAAATATATTTTTAAAATTTTTTTCAAAAATTATTTTTAAATACTATTTTTTGAGATACAAACCTAACATACCCAAGAATTTCCAAATCCCAGCATGGGATATCTTAATCCTAGTGTTTCATTCTTCAAGCATCTTTGTGTCTCCATACATGGCAAAACCATTTGGGTTAAATTTCAGATTGTTTGGTAAGTGAATCTAAGCAATCGGTGGGTCCCACTCACCGAGTAATGTAATTTTCAACTTAGCTTAAAATGAATTACAGTAATTTTTACTTTATTCTAAATTACGGTTGGTATATTAACTTAGTCTTAAATTTTAATATATTTTTTCATGTTTCAATTTAAGGCTATGTTTGGTAACTGATTTTATCTCTGTTTTTGTGTTTTTGTTTTTAATTTTTGTCAAAAATGAAAACAAAAATATATTTGATAACTATTTTTGGTTTTATTTTGTTTTCGTTGTATTGGAGACAAAGATAAAAAAATGAGAACAAAAAAAAGATGTTTTAAGAAACACCCAAAACAGAGACAACACGCGCATAAATGGGTGGGAATTTAATGAGATCCGGACTTCGACTCCTCTTAACAGCAAATCACGCTTTTTTTTGGTTAAACTATAAAAACCCATTTCCCTCCTCTATCTTCCCCATCGCTAACCCCCATGTCTCTCTCCTCTCTCCCTCATCTCTTCTTTCTTTGTATCAGACCATCGGCCTGCATCACTGCCTCCTCTCTCCCTCATCTCTTCTTTCTCTGTATTAGACAATCAGCCTCCATCACTGCCTCCTCTCTCTCCTCTTCCCTTGTATGAAACCCAGAAGTTGTGAAACCCACTTCAATCATTGCCTCTCTCTCTCCTCTCTCCCTATTCTCTGTGAAACCTAGAAGCTGTGCATATATATGCATAGATCGCTGCCTCTAGACGAATCGCCACCTCCATCGTTGCCTCAAGACAAATCGCCACCTCCATCACTGCCTCCAGACGAATCGCCACCTCCATCACTCCCTCCTCTCTCCTTTCTTTGTATGAAACCCAAAAGGTGTGAAACCCACCTCCATCGATACCTCCATCTCTCTCTCCTCTTTCCTTATTCGCTGTGAAACCTAGAATTATGCATATATATGCACAGATATTTGTCGCGTGTGTGTGACTAGCCATTTGGGATTAAATTGTCATTTAGGATTAGATCTGTCTATATATCATTTGGGATTAATTGTCATTTGTAACTAATTAAATTTTCATTTGGAATTGTTGAATTGTCATTTGGAATTTAATTACCAAATAGATATCAAACATATTTAGGATAAAATTTGAAGTAGTAATCAAACATATTTTTTGTTTTTATTCTCATAATTTGATATACAAAAATAACTTTCAAACATGTTTTTTGTTTTAGTATTTATCACAAAACAAAGACAAAAAATTATCTCTGTTTTTAATTTTTTGAAGACGCAAAAACAAAAATGTTACCAAATAACTCTTTAAAATTTTATTTGCATCAACGGGTGAATTATTTCTATTTACATTTTGACCCCTAGTTCAATTATTGGCTCCGCCCCTACATGTGAATGCATGAAATGATGAGTTGAAGTTCATGTACTATGGCTGAATCTGATTGTAAGATTCTCATTCTGCAATTATATTGAACCGAATTTTGTTTTTGTAAATACATACCCAACTCAAAATATCCATAAATTCATTTAAATGATGTTGGGTAGTTGAAGTTTTTTCTTCGTATAACATGTGTGGAATACAATAATAGCCATCATCTTATCAGCTTAACGGTTTCAACTAATAATATTTTGGTGGGTGAACATGATGTTCACCACATTATTATAAGATGGTACTAGAATACATATGTCTATTTTGTTTGGATATACTGTATTGATCAACTAATGGGTCCAGTCCATCCCACTGGCGGGTCCCATAATTATTTTCACTAAACACAATAATTATCTCACAGGGGACCTATTGAATTGTAGTGATTAAAGTTTAGTATAGGACTATAGGGCATGGATTAATTATCATGTGATACAAGGGGGAGCATCCAACCAAAATTCAAATGCAAAGTACAGAAACTAAACAATACAACTAAAAAAAAGGACTCCGACAAACCAAAGAAACAGAAAAGGAAACAAGGATGATGAAAGGGATTATATATTATTGGCTAAATTATATCAATGGTCCCTGAGGCTTGTCACTTGTTGCACTTTCGTCTCTAAAGTTTTAATTTCATCAATTTCATCTCCAAATCTCAAATATTGAATCAATTTGATCCTTGGCACTAACTGTCGTCACAAAAATGGACGGAAAACACCATGTGTCAGTCACGTGCATATCTTCAAGGGTATTTTTGATATTTTACAATAATCTATGAATCCAATCAACATTATTCTCTATCTGGACAATATTAGACATACACCCAAACATGCATCTTCTTCTTCCTCCTTTTTTTCTCTTTCTATTTGTCTTGTTGTGCTCACTCTTCCCAGACTAAACATATTCTCTCTCTCTCTCTCTCCCCTGTGTGTGTTGTGACTGATCCAAGACGAAGAATCGAGACCCTAACTCCATGTGATGCCTTCCCCTTTCTATC